TTTTATTTTTATATGCTTTGAAGTTTCTGTAGCGGTTGGATTTGTTTTACGGGGTAGGGTTTCTAGTCCTATGTCCAACCTTCCCTCTTTACCCGGGCTTAGGACCGGATAATATCTAGTGAACTAGTTAACCAGGCGATGTAGGTACGAAATACATGCCAAAAGTGCTCAAATTTTGCTGAGAGCGTTCAGAGGATCCCATATTTTGTTTCGAGAAAGAAGATATCCTCTCAACAACCTTGTATGAATTCGTGCAATAGGCGATCAGGCACACCGATTGTGAGGGCTAGTTATACTTACTGGATGCACAAACCTAGGTCAGTGGAACAGTGTTGAAACCCACGACCCACTAGTTGAAACTCAACTTCCTAAACTAATTAGCCGTAATATTTTGTTCGCAACTTCGCCTAGTAGGTGGTGTGGTCTGCGTACTTTAAGTCAAACAGATACCCTTCAAGTATTAGGTCTATCCCTGTGAATTCGTGGCTATCATATTTTCATTAACACATCTGTTGTATGTGGAAGTTAAAGGATAACAGTGATGAGGTACACTACTTTCTACATGAGTATGGGTAGTAGCCGGCGACTAGCATCATAAACTTGCTCGGTACTCGTTTCATTGTCAGGCTCTTCTGCACCACCTCTTTGTCGGATGCCATTCGACGAGTTGAGAGCGGGATAATATATCTGTGCACTATTGACTCTCCTTTCTTCAGAAGTCATTCTTCTAGATCCTTATATCCTGTCGGTTATCACAAGTCTTGGTGTAGTCAGTGAGCATCTACATGGTACGTAGCATTACTAGCTAGCGTTTGAAGTTGTCATACCATCTGCACATCAAGGTAAGAAGCAGCAATATGAAATATAAAGAAATTCGTAAAAAAGTTGTGAAAAGAAAACGAGTGAACGAAAGAAGAAATTCGGTATGAAATATGGATTCCTTTGCATCTCTGAGACCAACGTCATCTGGTGTCTATCCACCGATCTGGATTGTCACACAAAACCAAACGGAGGGGCCTACATTTCCTAACGCGGCACGGATTAACAATCAAAGACGTTATGGACTGATGAAATGTTTTAGTGAAGCCATCTTTCAGCTGACTTCGCGACTGAGCGGATGGTTGCTAGGCATGTTTAACACATGTACCAGCCTTAGTCGATTAGGGTTCACTGCAGCATTAATTAACGTTTCTCTTCTTTCTAACAGCTCACACCTGACCTTTGTGTTATCAGTGTTGTGGTACCACTACATACGGCTTATGTTACAAAGGCAGTGTTGATGGCAGCTCCAGACTCTTCAGCAGTAACTGCTAGGACTGTAGTCAAACCGTGTCCATCTTTAAGTTCGGTGAACGCTGTCAGAAAATCTGTTTAAAGTTTGTGCCAACCAGAACCAGGTAGTTATTTCAGCACAGAATAGCAGGTGATCACCGTTATTAGTTTGTTTGGTTAGTATTCAGAGAGTGCCTTTCTGGCGGATTTTTACACGGAGATCACCTGTTACGGCAACATCTAATTCATTAACTTTTATTAGGACTCTAGGCAGTTTTCGGTTGAACTCTTTTTTCGAACTGCAGTCAATGGACGCGTAAGCAAAACGTACAAAGAGATAGTGGCGATCCTCACTACTCATTTTATGTGATGCACTGACTACATTTGAAAAGCTACTAAAACTAGCCACCGAATCTGCAAAAACTGGTATAGTGAGTTCCGCAAATGCACATTATTGGTTGGATGGGGTGAAGTGGATGATTATGTGTCCTGTATAGGCCTGGATCAGCGCATATGGATGGCCCGAATTGCCAGAGTTTTGGATAGCGAAGCTTGTTGTCAGGTTTGATGGGAGATGAAGACATTGTAATCTTTGATAATGTAGTTTGAAACAGGGTTGAAGAGGAGTACAGATAGTAATTTATCATCTGGAACAGATACAGGATCATTTCTGTTGCATGCATTTGAAGTTGGTTGGATGACCAAAAATTTGGTGGTCAATCTTGAACCGACACTGAATACACAACAGAAATGACTCAGCAGTTGTTACAGATATATGGAAAATCCTACTACCTGTATCACAAAGAAGATAATGAAATTAGAATCGTATAAGTCATGCCTCAAAGTTGTAGAGTTATCTTGATATGACTAGAGACACTAAATTGTATTCGAAGCATAATCTAGTGAATAATACTGTTCCATCGTGTGATATATCTGATCAATGAACCGAAATGGGATTGGATTGTGCTATAGTGACCAAGTTTTACTATTCTGGTGATTAGTTTGGTTCCCCTAGTATGTAGCGGATGTGGATTGTATGATTCACTATTTGTCAGTGCTAACAAGTCAGCCTTAAATTCATCTTTTTTTTACCATTTGTCCACTAAAGCTGAGTAATATCATCATGTGGAAATTAGACTCATTCGAGTGTTTGCCAGTAAACTGGTTTTTTTCTCTGTTATGTCTTAAGTTGGCATAGGGAAGCGTAAGATGTTCATGAAAAACTTTTCATTCGAAAGCAAATTATTTTGAGTCCCTATTTAACGGTGAACTGCGTAATCATTGTAGTAGATTAAATCGAATCTGTGCATTTTTGGCTGGTAATGTGCGTGTGTGTCGTGACTAGAGCACAAGAAAGAAATCGTGTGAGAAGCACAAGTGTTAAAACCAGCCTTTTCGAGATTCTGCATTTTGATTGACTGTAATCAATCACTCCAGCCGATGTCTTGGCAGCTTTTTAATATTTGTTTCAACAAAGGCGTTAACCAGTAGTTCAGAGCTTGTGAGTGATAACCTTGGTACATTATTTTCAAGCATGTTTATCTAACTGATTTTTCATACGCTGCTAGAATTATCTAACGGTAAATATTTTAGTGAATTTTTTTTTCAGGGAGTAGTATTGTTCTGTTAATGCTCAGAACTAAAGATAGCCACTGTGAACACACCCTACTGCACTAATTCTCTTGTAAACGATGATGATTTATTTAGGTGGTAAACAGAAATGAATTCGTGAGGCGACAACAAACGTCGCAACATCTAGTTAGCTTACAAACACAGAAAATCAACGTAGAACCTCACACAGAAGTGCATCGGCTAAAGTGGCAACACTTCACAGAAGTACACAAAGAACAGATGGATAGAGGAGAAGTGATATCAAAGTAAATAAAGTTGTGTCATAGAATAAGCGATTCGAAGATAACGGTGTGTAAATATTCAGGCTTTCGAAGACGTCAAGGTATGAATACATCTGCACCATTGTGACCTCTTTTCAGCCATGTCACCAAGTATCCTCAAACACTGGTTCCTGCCGTCTCGGGGATCCCGTTCTGGCAGTCTGCAAGATAGAATGCATGCTGATAGAAAGGAAGTTAGTCAAATTTATTGAATATCATTACAGATAACAAGCGTGACTGAAATAAGCTATTAGCAGATGTTAGTAATCTGTCCGGAATTTAAAATGAGCTCATCTTGTTCTTACTACTCGAGGTAGCTAAGTACTGTTTGCTTAAGGTTTTGGATACGCAAACTTGATGGACGCACATGCCAGTCATTAATGCTTCGTACTTATAAAATACCCATGAGTGCAAGAGCAAGAAAGAACACAATAACGTACGTAGTCAGATGGGAATAGTATATTTGATAGACCGCGCCAAAAACCGATGTTTCGATGAGTTGGTGAAAGGATCGCGTACGAGCGACGTAAAGTGCCACGACAACGTGCCGATCGGCGTGGATGGCTGGTCGTATGCCTTCGACCTAGTCACTCCGATAAAACCATAAGGGTCGACACTAATGTTGAATTTCATCGAGCCCTAGGCTACCGATTTTGAGGAATGATTTGGCACTACAACGTCTTTCCTCATATCCTAAAGTAATTAAGAAATATCTTTCAAAATTGATAACATGTGTAAAATTAACGTTTATAATAATTCAAGTCTCATGTGCAAGTTCTCACTAGGTGAAATCATTTCAGCACTATCAAAAGCAACTGCATTTCATTCATTACGATGTGTGGAAATTAATCTGTAAGGGGATTGATTGTCAGATGATCAAGTGTACTGATAAACGTTTTTACAAAATGGCATTGTCTTAAAAGTTTGAGATAAAATTCGGTAGAGGAAGTATCAAGAGTTCAAGCTTGAGTAAGTGTTATACTGAATCGCAGTAGTATAAGACTTAGATTCACCAGTGGTGTACAGTAAAGAATGATGAATCTTTTCCATTTTGCACGTAAAAGGAGACGTTTTTAAATATACAATACCTAAACACTTTATTAAACTATGTTTCAGTGACTACGAGTTCGAGAATAATACGACATGATAGATATGCATATCTGTTTCTTGAGTCCATGTATTTCCCAGGTTGTGTGGAACGTATTCTATAACCCCCCTGTAAGTTTGATAAGCCCCTATGTGGAAATGGAAATCGAGTCACTTATTATGTATGCCGTTTGCAAACTAGATTAATAAGCTTCCCAGGGTAAGAAGACGTCTTTAGGTCAAAAATACCTTCAGTTAGCAGTGAGAAACCAGTGATATTCGTATTTGAATTTTATGCTATTATGTGCTGGAGAGTCTCAGCTAAGTAAAAAGCATGAGGCATTCACGTGTGTACGAATAACACTGTTTTGATTTTAGTTACAGTAACTTCTCCTTATTCCGAAAACGTCATACAAAAGCGCACACTTGGAACAAATCTGCTCATTTCATCAATGTCAAAACACCTGATTATTATAAAATTATCCCCGTCTGTAACGGTCTGAACTAACTTTCAATGATCAGGATTTACTTCGTTTCGCTCTTAAACTAGTATTAAACCTTTTTCGATGTCAAATGATAGGTTATTAGATTGTACATGTTTGTCTCAATGCTTGCACACAAATAAGGACTGGAATTATACTGAATAAGTTAGGATTTTCAGATTCTAAACTCACAGGAACTTCCTCCGAAAACTATACATACGCATTATTGTTTGGTGCTGTTTTGTTTAGAAAAAAAACGCTTGAAGAGTCAACGTTCAATAGCCAATATATTTTGTATAAATATGTTATATACGAGGTGAGTTTGTCGAAAAGTTCCATTACTGTTACCAAATACAGAAATAGTCCGTTGATAGTTTAAAAAAAAAGTATGTTATTGTTTGCAGCAGACATCCCCACATTTCCAACATAATTCATTTGATACTTGAAGATAAGACAGAAGATATTGATTGAACTGCACTAGTCATGATATGCGATATCAAATGAGGATAGAGAAAAAATTTCATGATATTGGAGTTGATTAGATAACATGGATTCGAATGAAAACGCTCTGAAATTTCCACAGAGTAAGCAAATCACAGAGAATAGGACTGAATTCCTGCAGGTCATGCAACAGTTGACTTTTACCGTTTATCAACTAACCAACATATTCATCATCTGTCGAACTTGATTACACACCTAAAATACAAAATGGTATACCTTTAACTACACTGAACCATTTTTTGAAATAAATATAAAATTGAAAAGATTGCAATGAACATTCAAAAGATTGAGCACAAGGCTCCCACTATAGCTAGAGGGAAGTAGTATGTGCGAGTGTTGAAATACTTCTTCATCAGTCAAACAAAAATATATAATCCAATTCGAAAGGATTAATTAATTCATTTCAAAGTGGTATGCATCACAGACTGACATCAGCTCGAGAACCGTTGAAAACTTAGGGATACTGAACATTTTTTTTAATAAGGGACTTTTCAGCATTGCGCAACCATGACCCGGTAGGAGATTGGATCCAGGGCATTTAGGGTGAGCATATTACCATTCAGTCACTGGATACAAATCCAACAGCCTATATTTTCCTACCTCTGTCAATTTGCGATATAGTGCGAACGTTACTCAGTGCGATTGGCGAGTATTTGTTCTCACATCCAATTTGGCTAACATCAAAGGTCACAGCTTTTGCCTTGAACTTTGGGTAATCCGTCTTAAAGCATATCCCTAATGAACACTAGAGAGTAATTCAGTTTGGAGGTAAGAAGTAGATGAATTAATGAATCTACAATCAATAGGCAACCAGTGAACTACAATGAAACCTAATTCGTTTTTTCCAAACAAGTAAATGACATTGACAATTATCAACAGAATTCGATCTCTTCACAACTTTAGACAGACAATGTTAAGCAGGAAAAAACAACATTGGAAGAGAAAGCCGTATTATAACGAATGAAAAATGACTGAACAAATGAATTTATGTTGAAAGAGACTGAACAGAAAATTTCGCTTCCGTCAGTTGGAAACCGAATGTATTTAGAAACAATAACAATGGAAATAAAATGAGACGGCTACTTTAAAAACTAAATCTACAACGGAGAAAATGTCTCTAACTTATTTCATTTGATTAAAAAACTTTAATTTTAATTGATAGAAAAAAACGTCAATCTATGTGAAAACTCAAAATGTACTAGGCCAAAATGTTAACTATAAGAGGAAAATGAGCACATCTAACATTTATTTGCTCATACAATCAGAATTTGCTATTTGTGGGATGTTTCACCCTAATAAAGTTTGGTAGGGTAGAGTCCGTATGCCATACAGATACTGATTAACTATTGTTGACTGAAATGAACTGAATGCTGTCTTACTACGCATATACTTCAGAAATGCATCGGGAATATGTATATATATATATATATATATATATATATATTGCTTACTTGAATCACTCAGACCCAAATTATTAGACTCCACTTTTCTGTTTATCATTCACAAAACTGAGTGACTCAAAAGGTTATCCTAGCAACTGCTGAAAAAACCAATGAGGTTCGACTTGGAAAATAGCTTCTTTTATGGATAAAAGGAATCTAGATAGTTTTCACAGCAGTTGTTTCAGTGGCCTTTAGATTCATTTCAAGACAAAAATGTTAGTAATTTCGCATAAAGCAACCTATTGACACATGAAATGCTGCAGTACATATTGTCGGCGACTATGTCAGAAAATAACAATACAACTGCAATATTATACACAGAAATATACGAGTGAGAGATGCACAACAAAGTTGGGAACATAATATAAGAATTTAATCAATTTATTTCTTATTAGTTAGTAAATTTTGTTTGTGTATAGTTTTGTTCAAACCAGTAGGATTAAATGCATAAATAAATACTCTTCAAAAAAATATCTCATAGTAACCCTAGGTTAATTTAGATATCACAATTTGTCATTTCACGTCGTTGATTGGAACGAATTGATCTGGCACAATCGGCATGTGAGTTTCTTTAGGAACGATATCACTCCACTCACTGGAAGGGAAGTATACCCAGCTAATCAGTCATAAATTAGACAAAACATGTGTCCTGGGCTTCCATGATGCTAACCACTATCCATCTTTAATATCAAAATGGAGCTAGGTCTAAATTTTGATTCTGTATTTCAATGCAATTATCTATAATCTTCAATTAAATGGAGTTGAGTATCTACTTACATATGTTCATTTATACAGTATTTACTGAACACATAATCAGTATGTAATTTTATTGCTTAATACACTAGACTTATTGATACAACAAATCTCATTAGATTAAAATGTGTAACTAGATTGGTAGAAACTTTTTTAGTGCGAAAATTGTGGGTGGTTATAACCTGAAAAGAACACGTTATTCAGAAAAGAAAACATAATTCAGTGAAGGAAATTTTGTTTTTGACGATAACATTTTCTAGCTATACAATCGCATTTATATACATATCACAAACATAACAGTTTGTTATTGAACAATAGGGTATGGTTACATCATTAAAACAGCTAGTGCTGACAACTAAAATCAAGACGGAGAAGGAGTTGCGGAATAACCTACAAGAAAATATAAATAGTGAGAAATCTAAGGAGTTTTACAAGATGTTGGTAAATATGATGATTGAGTATCTACTTGATGAATGTAAACAAGAAGAAGAAGAAAGAAACTAACTAATTATAATGAAATTGAAAAAGGAAAAGATTGTGGGAGTGTTAAGATAAGAGATTGAACATACTTCTGCACGCAGAGATCAGGCCTGAATTGGTAAATTGCAAGCGCTTCTGTTGTGCACAGCTGTCAAAAGTGTACTCCCGTTGAACTATTCCCTTTCACTACGAAAATGATGCTGAAGGAGTCCAGTGCACCTTACATTTCCAGAGATGAACACATGTTGCGACATTGAAGTTATCATTAATTTACAGTTTCCTCTCAAAAACCATGCGGGACATTATTCAGAAATACGTTTGGAAAGTGGACGTACTGTGTAGCCTATAAAACTAGCTCCACACAAGCAAATAAATTTCTAGACACACACTGAAGCGGCCCAACGCGGCAACTTGTCTTTAACACACTCCAAAACCATTTGCTAATTACAGAAGCTGGTTTGTAGCTTTGTAGATAAGAATATCTTCTTCAGTGAATTAGGCAGCCGATTCTTCAAGATCTTTGCTGCTGCATGACTTTTGGAAACGACGTTCACAAATAGGATCTTTGGAACTATGAGTACTTGCTTTATATTGTTTTTCTCAATAAATCTAGATGGGTGTAATTTTGCATGAGAATTTTCCGGAGTTTGCCCGATTCATCGCCGATAGTATCACTCGTACATATTCCTGATGACAAAGAATGAATCAGATTTTTTTTCTGCTGATGTCATCCAGAAAGACGATGAAAGCTTCACAATTCAACAACCCAGCTCAGAGAACACAATACAACCAAGAGAATGAATATCTGCAGGTGAATGAAAATATTCCCTGAAAAGCTTCGAAGACAACACAGTGAGACGTCTGTGCCACTGTGATCAGTTTTCAGCTGTATCCTAAAAAGACTCTAACCACGGATTTCCACTATCTCGAAGAACTCTAGTCAGATACCACATACGGCTCAAATCAACAGTCGACGAAGTAATATCACGTCTTGCTCTGACCATTCTTTGCTGTTTTACAACCCAATCCTACTATTGTTAACATCGCATGTTAGGTGTGTGCGGCACACGTCTAAACCACCGAAGTCGGAGAAGATTCATAACCAAATCGACCGATTTGTTTGTTTTACCTAGAACCGTTCGCCAAACCTCGAAATTGCTCATAGTGATTCTGCCACATACAGGCAATGTAGCGAAAATACGTGTAGGAATAATAAACATTTAATTCCAAACAAATTCTCAATTGTACAGGAAATTGTCCTGTACAATTGAGAATTCTCAGCATATATTGCAAAAACAACAAAACATATGTACGTATGTATGCACTCCTTTACAACATTTCGAATTGTGTGATTATAAAAGTCCAAGTAGTGTAAAGAATATTAAAAACGAGAACGTTTTACATTGTTAATTAAATTACTCAAATGAGATTGTTAAGTATTACAAAGTTGATATGTGGGTTCTGTTCTAATACATTTTCCTCACGAAATATGCATGCTAGGTAAGGTAAGGTACAGTCAAATTCTTGTACTTGACTGTACAAGTGTAGTCTTCATGTCCTCCTTGAGGAGATACAGAGAGAGCTATGAATGAAGTGGATGCTCAGTGTCATTTAAAATTACTGTAGCTAAATGTCCATCAAATACAGTGCTAATCATTTGGGTCGGAGGCACACCACTCACCCTACTGGTGGCTTTTAAAGTCCTACGAAATATAACATACACCTTTTGTAGAAGACCATGAAAGATCAATGGGGAACAATAGAGAATAATACGCAAAATGCAGGAATTAATAAAATGTAAAAGTAGAAGTTGAGTTATACCAGAAAGCCTCAGTTTCTTTGTGTAATACGTTAAACGGAAGATTTTCTTACAAGTCAATAAAATACAAGACATACAACAAAGATTATAAGTAAAATTCAATCCAAGATAGTTAACACTCGATTTAATTTCTGCAGAAATATCATTAATACAACAGGAGTCATGGGACTTAAGAAGCTCACACAAATCTTGTTCACGCCTGAGGTTAAAATTAACAGTCCGACATTTAGGAGGGTATAGCTTGAGACCATTTGAGGGAGAACATTAGTCAATTCATAAGGAATCTGGAGAAAAACTTAGCTATTGCACTACATGCAATTACACACGGCTACACAATAGGATGAGATAGAGTGACAGTCTTTAAAACTAACCTAGCTGGGTGAAGGGAGAGATTGATAACTGAAACTTTGTCTATCGAATCATCATACAACACATGCAATAAGAAAGACTCAAATCCTACTACCATGACAAATGAAGGGCAAGGAGGAGAAATAAAATTATCAAAATAGGATGTAAAAGGTGCCCAGTTACCTTTGATATGAATATGAACAATAAATTCTGTTAAAAACGTCATCCAGCTGTATGAATTTTTGATGCGTTACTGTCCGTTCATTGTATTCATGTTGGCTGCCCAGTTAGGACGGAGATGAATTCGAGAGGGGGAGCATAATATTGACTATTAGTGTGACTATCTGAGATAGCTATGGTTTGGGAGACTGAATGATTTTAACTTCACCTTCAATTATTACCCACTATCAATAATGCATGTCTGTCAAACCACGACTATCTTAGGTAGTCAAACTGATATAAAATATAAACAATCTAACATGAAATCAAAGTATATTCTGTTTTATATCGTAAGACTAGGTTGATAATTCTCATCTTAGTTCACAGGAAAATCAATACAAAGTAAGAGAGTAAGTCAACTGCAAAAAGTGAGATTAGTTTGCTTCGTATTTGTAAACTGCCTAGGTCTCCGGTCTATGAAATCCCTTTAATCAGTCTATTGTATCATGAGATCGGTACACATGCGCTTATCACTTTATTACTCGACTTTCTTTAAAATATACTACGTTATCACAAAAGATCGACAATAATATTATTTTAAATTACTATTTTTAAGATTGCAACGATTTCTGGTTGAGTGATTTTTGTTGACAATGCGAGACATAGATGTGTTCAACCTTCACTTTCTTCAAAGCTATGAACATGTTAGGAATCCTTGTTTATTCATTTATCCATCATAATTTGGAATTCCTCACGGAATGACAGTTAGAGACATTGGAAACCTGGGAGCACTGGACAGGTGTTTCGTTCTGGTATGGGACTCCTCGGTTGTGCGCACACGCGACCCCAGGGATCGAAGCTAAAGCCTTCAGGTTCCGCGGCCAGCACGTCACCATTGAGCTGTTGAGTTGGAACCCAATAGTCCATACTTCCTACTTCTGTCAGTTCACGACATAGCGTGACCTACATCCAATGTTGTCATCCTCATGTTTGACTTGGTTGACTCCATTGGTCACGACTTCTCATTGGAACTTCGGGAATCACCTTTTGAAGCTAGTCAGCAATGGGGGCTAGATAAATTTTATCTGGGGGGCTTGTGGAGGTTTAATAGTTAAGTTTAGGTCAGGACCCGAAGGCCTTGGGTTCGATCCTTGGTGAGATCGTGGGTGCACGCTGCTGAGGAGTCCCACGCTAGGACGAAACAGCTGTCCAGTGCTCCCAGGTTCCCAATATCCCACCAACTGATGTCAGTCCATGATGAATTCCAACCTGATATTCATTTATTTGTTTATTCTCCAGACACATCCTCCTTGCCAGTCTAAAAATCTTCTTAATTCCGATGTTATTTGCTAAGCGGTGGTCGGTAATGAAATACAGGACACGCGTTGTGTTCTACTAGAGACTTGTCAGCTGGATATACCTGTGTCCTAGTGAGTAATGATGTTCCCACTGAGACTTAAACCTAGCATCTATCAGTTCAAACGCTATCCACTAGGCTAATGAGTCACGAGATCGAATGGCATCATTTGTTATTCACTTATGTGTGTATAGTTTCCTGTTAATTATTATACTGAACGGAATTAACTAGTAATTCTCAACCATCTGTTGATTTTCCATTTCTATATTGTTGTAAAATAAGGTGAATCAAGCCATGATAATTTCTTCAGAAATTTTACATCGTTATTCTTCGCTATTCATCAGGCAAGTGATAAGTTTACTTTCAAGCCTTTTTATTTTGAATATGTCTATTCTAGAAAAATATAGGCGGCTTAATATGCGAAGGCCTACCTGTTGTACGGATTTATTACTCTTATTGAACAGCTGAAACGTTCTCCTGAAAACAGCAAAATCAATATAGGTAAACGTAGAGGAAAAAACTAGCCTCCTCACATCCCTCTTATCGATGAAGATACTCGAAAAGAGGACTGGTTACTAACTGCATGAAAGACAAATTATTGAAACGTTTTTTTCATTCAATTACACTTTTTAGTTTCACCAAGAGATGGTATATAACAAGATTTTATGAATACATTAGTCAACCAAAACTTACTTCTGGTATTGATTGTTTGGCATCAATTACGGTAACCAAATTTTGTGCCTCATAGAATTTAATTACCGGCATACATTGTTCTTTGAATTGTTTGATACTGGAAAAAAATTGAGAATCAGATTATGACTGGTTTGTACGAAACAGTTTATGGAGATGGTTAACACAATCAGCCAATATCAATACTGGACCTTATGTTACTGCGTAAAGGTCCATGTCGCCATACTGGATATCAGCACATTCAGTTAGAATGCACTAAGATGAAAGATTAAAAAAATCGAGAAAACCATTGAGAGTGGTAGGAAGTTATTTAAAAAGATCAAAGAGAAATGAGAGAATGCTGAAATTTACTATGGTTATCAAGATGGTCATAGTGTAGGTGCACCTGTGCCATTATGATCGATTCTAAACTATAACCGAGAAGTCTACATTTCCCTCGTTTATTTGTGTGCCACTGAGATGGTAGGATCACTGAGTACAGTAAAAAAGTTACTTTATCTTTTTGTTTTAACTAGGATATGAAGTAGGATAAAACGTGTTGGTAAAAAATGATTTCATTGAAGAAGCGTGGATGCCACTTTTTGTCTGTTGTAAATGACTCTTACAAAAAACCGTTAGTTGGAATCAGTGCATCTCAGTAGTCTCTCCTGAATTGATCAACGCACATGAACGTCTTTCTGTAGGCTCCAAGCGCCAATGAGGAGCGGAAGTAACACAAATATAGACTAAAGTAGAGTTTACACAATGAGTGTGAACAGTCACGGGTAGCGAAGGAGAAAGGCAAAAGGCAGCAGCGACAGGCAACACTAGACAGCTATTTAGGCTCATCAAGGTAAGTTAAGCAATAAAAATTCAATAGTTAGTGAGACCACAGCGGTTAAAGATGGGTTTGTAGTTTACTAGAAGGAAAGAAAACTAGAAAGATAGAATGGAACATTTTGAGGAACAGTTCAGTTAGCCTCCACAAGTTCGCTCGCTATTCTGTCGGATCCTGATCAGAACAGTGAGACAAAGCTGATAACACAGTAAGTAACCTGAAACGAGGAAGAGTAGCACGGTAATCACCAGAGGTAGTTAAAGACAGCGGTCAACAACTACTAGTTGGATTAAATAAAATGTTAAGTGGCGCATGGAGATTAGATATGATCCCCCTGACCGTACTCGATCATTAACTGTCGTAGTCTTCAGAAAGAGAGGGAGATCCTACTGTGAAAATCACAGAGAAATCAATCTGACGAACATGGTGTTTAAGATTCTAAGTTCTATAATCACTAGACACCTAAGTGAAGCTCGAGGACACGAACCAGAACGAACAAGGCAGATTTCTAGCGTGACTGAGGGTGTATCAACCAGGTATCCACCCTTTATCGGATTCTGAAAAACAGATACCCATACCAACACCCGATACTAGCTGTATTTCTTGGCCTGAAGGTGGGATTCATCTCGACCGATCAAGAAGCCTTATGACAGCGTCTTTCGCTAAAAACTGTTCTCAGTAAAGGCTTTGTATTCGAACAACCGTGGATGTGTTAGAGCTTATGGCGAGATATAAAGCGAGTTTAGTAAGTTCGGCAGCGTTCACCGATGACGTTGACTGTCCATATTCTTAGTTAGTGTCGGTATAGATGTGCTTATCTAGGTCTCCCTTTTCTTCATCTGAGTTTGCAGGGATTGATCCTGTCAAAAGATAATCCTTAGTACATTTAGAGTAAGCATATGATATATTCCTGTCAGGTGAAAATGTTGACAAGATGCAAAGCCTCACAGACACACTGAGTGGCTAATTCAGAAGGCCTGTAACGCGTTGCCCACTGCCCAAATGCAAATTTTGCTCCAGGACTGGTCTGCGTTGATGTTCAATCTAATAATAGAGAGAGAAGTGGCTCAGCACGTTGACCACTTCACTTGCCTAGGAAGCCGGATCCGTCCTGGTGGTTCTGTGACCGACGAAAACTTCACTCACATACAAAAGGTTCTGTTAGTTTTTAACCGCTTTTGCTATCAATATCACTACTATGATATCCAAATTCCTACTAGGAGTCGAGTGTACTGAGCTGCATGACCACTGAAGGTACAGGACGTGAGGTGTTGTACACGATACACAGAGATCATGGAGACAGTCGGTCACAAAGAGCAATGTTGATTAGCTGCATTCAATCATAACTGAAAGTTGTTTCACCTCATTGGAAACCGCTGATGATCAGCCCAACAATAAACTTCGAAGACGAAGAGAACGCTAGAGTGAGCGATTTAAAAAGTAATTCAGCTAGCCTACTGATTTAGCAAGAATCTGTGCAACAAATTTTTGGATCGGTAGAGTTGGCTTGTGTCAATTCCCAGGCTTTGCTAAGCACGTGAAAAGATGATTGGTGCAGAAAGGGCGAGAACTCTTTCAGATTTTAGATACAGAGATCAGATGTGGACTCTGCGTTGAAGCTAAGATATTTTCATATGTACTGTAGACAAACAATTGTTATATTGCTTTTCACTAACATTGAATGGATGAACAGAAATGAACGCTACAATTATTCATTTTAAAAATGAGTCCTGGGGAGGTTTATGAATATCCTAATAAGTTTAAACGAAAACATCTCGGATACAGCGAAGGCATAAAACCACCCGTCTATATCGTTCCAAACCAACAATGAATGCAAGTTTTTTCGATCTGCAACTTTGCAGTAGATGATATTCTCGAAGCAACTCTGAGACAGAAGCATGGCGGCTGTATTAATTTGCTAACAAGAGAAAAATTTGAATATGTGGACTAGTAAGTCTTACTGTACAATAAAACACAAGCTATTTAAATAAACATATGATAGATGATTTGCATTATGAAATTTCAAAATAAAATCTTTCAGACAATAAGCAAAATGCTCTTGTATCCGAGTATTTGTATGAGAGATGTATCAAGTGAAATAAGTCTTTTATTATCTGTTGTTTTCCTTCTATGCTCGCACACTGTAATGAAAATCACGATAACCTACTATTCTGCCGAATACTATACGTGGTCAACAACGCAAATAATAATACCATAAAAACACGATCGATTAAGATGTATCGAAAAGGAATTACTCTTAACAGTATAAATATGCATAAACACCACTCAAATTATGACCAAGGGTGAAAAGTACAATTACTACATATATAATCTACAAATATACTCAACGATGATAGACAAAGTAGCTAAGTCATGCTGAGAATAACAATGACTTTTTCAAATAGCCCGTAGCGGTGTATTAGATGTGTAGACAATTCTAGTCGAATGATACAAAATCATGAGTATTATAGTATGAATATTTTCTCTAAAAATAAGATAAACCCACCTATATAAGCGACATAATTCAGTAAATGAATACAGGTCGATACATTGAACTATGAACAACGTTTTATTGTGGAACAGCTACCTGATATTTTACACCCTAGAGTGGTATTGAAAACAGAGATAAATCAAAATGCACTCAACAACCTTGTGCACGTTGATGCAGTAGGCAATGAGCAACAACTAAAGGGTCAAAGGTACTACCAGACTGCCTAAATCTCAGTATGTAGAGCATTATTCGAATCCAGTGACCTATAAGTTGAAAGTCAACTGCCTAAACCAACAAATCACAGCTCCACCTGGCTGGAATCTCCAAGACGAAAGTAATCAGTGGTTAATGACTCTTGGTAAGATGGCTGAAAATTGGTCACGATGGCGTAGATGCATTCACTTTTTGATATCTTAAGAAGCTTGAATGTTTTGACTGACCTTAATTTTTAAATTTCCATTTCCTCCAAAACACTTTTTTCTACTTTGAAATCACTTTCTTTTTATCCACTTATTCTTTGTATAATACTGTAAAGTGTGACAAGTTGAACCAATGCACTTGTGCGCGAGGTTCTACGTTGATTTTGTCTACCTGTCTGCTCTACTATTTGTCTGAACTAAGACAAACAGGTGTTAATGACTCTTCAGAATTAATCTATTCCGCAATGCACACAATGCTCACGTATGCACAGTTAGTACTTTTAGAGAGTAGCTTAGTTTCAGTACAACTTTTATAAACCAATGTCTCATGAAAAACCATAGAAAACTATTTCATTTCAATCTGTGACAATTCATCAACTTACACTCTAGTAAAGTATATGTCTGGTGTGAAGCCTTAAGCAAAGAGGTAAGTTAGTTGGTGAAGTTGTGAACTGCGACTGCGACACATGTTACGCATACCTAACTATCATGTATCCTGAAGTACAGTGTTAGCTGAAGTAATTTTAAGCTGGAAGTAGTTTAAAGGTGGCGAGACTAAAACATACCATCAGTTCATGAAGTCGCTACCTGTTGATATCAGTGGTGTATGGAAATGTAGATTTCCCAGTTGAGGTCTGTTTTACAACCGAAATCGGTGGTTAAAAACTTTAAGTCATGTATTTCGGAGCAAATCCTAGTGGTGCAGATACGTCCACGCATTATCCTCATCCTGATCGTTACATTATATTTCGTTATTATTTCACCTCATCTTCCTTCTCATGACTTTCTACTACTTTTGATTACTTCTTTTCACCTCTTCTCTGTTTTTTTTTCCTTTTGCACTGCATGTGACATGTTGGACAGACAGGCGGTAAGTAATGCCAGGACTCATGTTGATATTGACTTGAATTGACATCTTCTAAGATCTTGACTTTTCATGAAGAAGACATCACCATTACACCACTTGGTGTAGAATCCAATGTACGACGTCTTCGAAATCCAATAAAACTGTGATATGAAACAAACCACGTTGGATGTCATGCAAGAGCAGATTCCCTACTTCACCAAATTTCTTTACTTTGTATCCACAAATCTCGTCATCACTTACCTCTTCCAAACAAGTTGTGAATAACTACTTAGAAATTATTCAAAAGAGCACCTTTCACCATTGTTATACAAATATGGTGTCGAGTATTTTATAATTTTTGTGAAATGAGAAAGTTCTACTGACTCGGTTAGAGACAAAAATGAGATAATCACCTGAACTGTGATAACTGCATTTCTATCAGATTATGATGAAACTTTTGTCAATAGCGATTAAACAAGCAAAAGCGAAAATATCATAATTACCGGTGTTGTAATGTTTCTTCATTATCGTCGACCCGATTGGACTGTCGTCCAAGACAACGTTGTATACATATCTGAAGGCAACAGCAAAAACAAAAATAACATCGATGAAACTGCATGGGATAAAAAGTTTTGAATGCTCAGAAATAAAATATGAAGACGGAATCTATATCTTTATAAAGCCAGTCATGAAATGGTGAAGCTTTGACTCATTGATTTAGACAGTCAACTTTTGATCAGTGAATCACGGGCTCAAACCCCGCTGCACCTATCAAAGTTTCGATAGTTAGGTAGTATGATGAACCCTCGTACAGTGGGTGGGGCTTATTGCTTAGTGCATGAAGCTGAACGTGGTAGCTGAGTGACAGTTCACTTCAGTACTCCGCTCGATTTACTGACATGAATCAAGAAACTATACAATCCTGAAGAGCTTAGTGACAAACCCGGTTTGGAAAACCAGGTAGTATCATAAGCTCTCACACAATAGGCGTGACTTACTGCCTAATGCATGAATGTGTACAAGGTTGCTGAATGCAACTCGATCGATCGATCTCAAAGTCACTGTTGATAGAATGTCATAATATTCTAAATATTTTCTTGGAACGAATCTGTGGTGTTTTTATGTTGGTACTTGTCTTATCCCATCGCTGATTGGACCGAATTGATTGGTCACTACTAGCATATGGGCTCCTATGTGGACGCCTTGATATTGCCTGCATGTCAATTTTATACCAATGAAGGAAAGTGGCTAGCAGTGAGATCCAGGACGCGCGTTTCGCCCTGTTTGGGACTCGTTGGTTGGATGTACGAGCCTCTGATTGGGCGATGTTGTTCCCATGAATATAAAATTGAAACACAGGCAATATCGAGGCATCCGCACAGGAGCCCATATGCCAATAGCGACCGATCAATTCGATCCAGTTAACGAGATAAAACAATCACCAACATAAAAACTATACCCGTCACACAGGAAGTGGCTACCGTGACTCGGTTGTCTAGTGGATGACGCTTAGGCGTTTGAAGCGATGGGTTCCGGGTTCGAGTCTTATTTGGAACAAATTCCCTCACTGCTAGCCACTATCCACCGTTAATATAGAATCTGTGATGTGTTGGGAAGAAACCCTAGTTTAAAGTGATTCTCTAGTTTGGTACTTTAGGACTATTGTTGTTGTTACTTCAATGTAGTGCATTGTTTTTAAACGTAAGATTGATATTGAATGTCTTTGTATTACTGTTTTTGTCCATCACAAGTTTCATGCTGAACCCTATAGATTTATCTCAGCCACTCGAATTCCTTTTGGTATTTGAATCTACATATATTTTCCAGTCACTACATAATTTCGTTTTGTATACTTATGTCATGAGGAACTCCATTATTTATTCAATGGTGCAATAAGAGATGGAGCATACAGCACTTCAATAAACGTTAATTCTGACCTACGACTACCTACAGATGATGCAAATGATCTATCTGACAGTAACCTACCTTCCTCACCTTCATCACTTCTTTTGACTTCCCTATATCTCTTCCCGTTTTCAGTTTCCTCAGTTATCAGTGATCCAAATGAAAAAGAACACCGTTTAAAACTTCATAAAACCAGGTTGCCCGATTTCATATTAGTGCTTTGAATATTCAAATCTTGTGCCAAACTAGATAACAGGCTAATTGACAATAGTCTGTGTACTGTTCGTCTGTATGGATTCGTAAGAAATATAAGGGACTATCATGTTAATCAAAGCCTGTTTTTTAGTCTCCACCTACGCACCTGACAACTGCAGTTCCCAAAAGTTTCAATAAACATAAAAGTATTAAAAATGTCCACTGTTGTAGCATGAAATACTACAGAGGTCCCTGCTTGATCGAACTTCTGTATTGTGTTACATAGGCCACTACAACGCTCAATAAGCGACCTATTCAAAAAGTTATGGATCCCTTGACATTCTTATTACTGGTGATTATAAATTTCTGCAATCTGCCACCACTACTACTCCGTATTTTCTTCCTGGAGACTTGCAGCAATCACTACAGTCAATGTGAGAATCGTAAAACTATTTAGTTGAATCAATTGTAAATGAAGGATCAATTAATTTGTTTCTAATATTTATAATCAATGTTACAGATAATCCCTGTGATATTATTCTACTATTACCTTTAGCCATATCTAGTGCCAATTCAGTAAAATCGGTTTATTTCTGTTGTTTTTGAATTAGCTAGGTTATGTGAATAATGAAAGAACACTCAATATCAATAATAATAAAATATGCATTGACCTATTGGAACTATGTATACATAGACAGCAGCACAGAATATGTGCAAGTGAATTCACAAAAAAAACCAAATGAATTAAAAAATAGTTGTAATTCACCTATAAATTAATCGTTTACACAAAGAATTAGAATGATTTAAACATTCCCAAACGATAACTGTGTTAACTGTTCTACTCTACTCTACTCTATTAAGAACCAACACCTCAGTATTTGATATTTTCACATGAAAATAAGAAAAATAACATAATGAATACACCTATATATAGGTTTCAGGATAATAGTAGTTGTCTCTTATTTCTAAGATAAAATTTCAGCATATTTAACTTCATGGTGTTATTATTTAGCAGTGATTCCAGTAATAAAATCAATTGTGTCCAGGACAGGAACATTCTAAAACAGGGAAGTAAACTTTAATTCTTGATATATAAATTTCAAAATGTCTTTTAAGCTATACCTAGTCATCTAAGGAAAATAGTCGCATCTAGTTAGAAGTGAAAGTTGAAATTTACTCATCACTGGTACAATGTGACCCTAAGGATATTTGACACAATAAGACAATATACCCTATTCACTGTTAGATTTTAGGAGTAAATAGATTTCCTACTCATTGGCATTTATCAAGGCGATTATGCAGATGAGCAAATCACAGTTAGTATACTGAAGTGATTCATTAAAAAATCATTATGACCGCTGCTTAAATTTTTATTCGAACACAGAGAAAATAAAAAGATGTGAAATAAAGAACTGCAATGTAGGCTATGAGACTATGAATTGTATGAAAGAATACAGTAGGCATTATGATTGCTACAGCATACCATAATTCATTCAACAACTGATGAAAGACCCTGGCAACAGAATGCGAACTGTAACGTGGGAAACGAATACACTGCACTAGCCACCATGAAACAATCTTTGCGTAAGGATACTTAGTCACTACCAATGTAAGAGGTGTAAAGTTTAACTTCTCAAAGAAAAGATTCAAGAACACTATCTGATAAAGGTGGGGGGATTTCATATTAGATTTTTTTTATTTGATTTATAACACATAGTGATATATCACATTGATATGATTATGAGCAATGATTTATGCTCAAAACGTCATCAAGTAAATAATACTATATCACTGTGTATTATAAATCAAATAAACAAATCTAATATGGAATTGAATTCTACCACAATGCCCAGTCACAATCTGGTTCTTCTCTGACAAAAAGGAAAACAATTTTTTAAGAGACCAAATGTACGAAAGTTAAAACAACAGATGGCCCACCTACAATCCTAAAGAAGTTCTCCCATCACATGAGGACAAAGTTTCTATAAAGTGTAATGGTAATTAAATCGGTATAGCAAACGTGGTATTTTACCACCTCATGGTTTTTAAAGAGGATTTCAGCTTCAATTTGAATGACTACGTATGTGGTCACCCCCTCTCCTATTGTCAAACTTCTCACCACGTGATATCTTAACTAGAAACGTCCAGTATGAGAATGATATATAGCTACAAAAATTTGATGAAAGCTCTCTGCGGGGCTATACTGACATGATAATAAGTAATATAACCTGAGTCTAAAACGTTTAATAAACAGTGTTTTATCATTGCATGCTATATCAAACATGCCATGTAAGGTGTTTATCACAAGACCTTATCCTTTATAATGTATTAGATTTATCAGAGACTCTTCAAATTTAAACGAATTCAAAACATTTCTATGAGACTATAAGAGTACATTTTAATATAATCCCAGGATTGGAATTACATTAAAATATACTATTGTACTGATAAAATCAGAGTCAGTCCTCAACTCCTTCTCCAGGATATTCGTGAAAACCATGATCTGGATGCTTATGTTTCCCATGAAGTATCGTACAAACAACACAGGAAGCAAAAGCCTATTTCTACCTAGAAAAGCCTTGCATCAGTAGAGTGGTACACTGATATAATCTTCATGTGAAATATAAAATTTTCTATTTTATTTTCCAACCTCAAGGTCACTCTGTGATGATACGACAATCTACTTGAATGGCGCTACCGGGTGTCGCTTAGTAGTTTGCTAGCTAATCTAAGTGTCAGTATCCAAAAGTAATCGATATTAATAAGTACTACTTCCTTGCTTTCGTCTGTTAGTTTACTTAAAGACTAGAAGAAATCTTTTTAATGTATTGACTCCAGTAGCAAACTAGTGGATATTCGACATAATACTAATGAAAACAAGTGTTAAGATTGTTTACTTCTGACTAGACGTTTGTGGGGATTCATTGGTTGATTTCAAAATGATATTCACCATGGAACCATTGAAAACCTGGAAACACTGAACAGCTGCTTTTTCCTAGTATAGGACTCCTCAACAGTGCTCACAAACGACCCCATTAGGGATCAAACCCAGGGCCCTCAGATGTCGCAGTGAGCATGTTACCATTTAACCAGAGTCATTTATCATACACAAACGCACTTATCCAACGAAACGAATGAATGTTACCTTTGTGTATATATTCAGTGCTTAGAAGATTCAACCCTTGAATGCATTCCAGCAATCACAAGCAGGTTTGTGCACAAGGCTATAAGCCGAAATTATCCTACGTTAACCAGTAACACTACCCTACCAACACAAATCTCATCTTAGGTGGGACGAGATTCGACCCCAGAACCCAATGTCTTATGATCCGCACCTCAAACGGAGAATAATACAGAAAATTTCGAAGGAAATCGTTAGCAAACTAATCTTAACAGTTTGCGAAATAATATGAGACGATAATGATCATAGCGATCTACACACAAAAAGCACAATTACAACTCACATCATCTGGACAGTCTAGTACAATAACACGTTTTAAATTTGTAAGAGGATTCATGTCCTGTTCCCAACACAGACGGTTATCCTCATTGCGTGGAAAGCCGTCCACAAGGAAATTCATACAACCAGCATCCTTATAACTTTTTGTCATTGCCTGAAATTGAAAATAATAAACTTAGTAATTCCACAATCAATAGTTTATGTAGTATAGCAGCAAACTGGTTTTAATACTTACAGCATGACCGATAGCTGGTACCTTGACGTGTTCGTCGAAATTGCATATCACTTGAACCCAAGAAGCTATCCAGACAAGATAATTTGTTCCATGAGTTCCTACCATACCCGAAAGGTCAGTAGTATAACAAAAAGCAGTTAGGAAAATGAAATGAAGAACCGGTCCGAAGCAGTAGAAAGCAGTAAAAGAGAGGAAGAAGGAATGGGAAAATGATGAATTCAGTACAGCGATTAAGATGATGTGTGGATACATCTGTACCACTTACATTGATTCTGAGCCATGTCACCTAGAGTCTCCAATCACTGGACCCCAACCAGGTGATCGGCTTTCCCCTATATGGCTCAGAACAGGAGTCAATGACTTCATGAAATGATTTCATTTTTTAATTTGTCCGTCCCAAACCTTTTTCTAACCTGAACATACTTCGACCAATGCGGCAGACGGTGACTATGGATGCCTAACACATGTCCCAGCCATCTCAGCCAATGAAGGTTCACAACCCCATCAACTGACGATCATCTCCTCCCTAAAACTTTACACCTGACTTCTGCATTACTCATGTGGTGACACCCTGACATATGGCCTATGTGATGGTGACGGTGGTCAAACACCAGAAGCTTTCTTGTGTCCTCTACGTTTAATAGATATATTTCAAAGTCATACGGTAGAACAGAGGGAACTTCAGAGCAGTACACTCAACCCTTAATAGACAGTCAGGTATTACGGTGCAAGTTGGCAAAAACCGATCGAGCTTTTTGTACCCGTGCAGAGATTTCGTCGGCCACTGAGCCACGAGGGCTGATCCAACTTCCCAGGTAAGTGTTTGGATGGCGACCATGGGTAGGTTTAAGCGCATGTGTGTTTACGTCTAAACGGACGTGGGGAAACTTTAGTAACTAGACCATTGCGAATGCAGCTCGACAGTGAAGGCAATAAGGCCGCTTTCAATAAAAAAAAGCGACTCGATAGTTATCGGAACAGAAGAAGCTTGATACAATCTCCAGTCTGCTGTAAAAACATTGTTAAAGACCGTAAATGACCCTCATAATAACGGCGAAAAAAGTTAGTGACCTTTAACATTTTCTGAATTAATGGAAGCACACGAACGCATCCATGCAGACTCCAAGTACAATCATGAGCGAATCCGATTCAAAAGTAAACTCACAAAAGTCTACGCAATGAATGAAAAACGTGGTATGCAGCGAAGGCGGCGGTGACAGATAACAGTAGACAGTTTACTAAGGAAACTGGGGCAAAGAGGACAGTGATTAGTGAAACTATAGCGGAGAAGGATGGGTCTGAGATTCACTCGCAGGAGGAAACGACTGGAACGACGGGCGGAACACTTCGAGGAACAGTTCAACTAGCAGCGTCTCTCACAAAAACGGACCCAGAGTAACTACGCCACTCCACTGAAGGTTTATTGGTCAAGTACCCGTGGGTATGTCAGAGCTTATGGTAAGAAACTAGATGAGCTGTTTACGACAAGTGATATCCACTCTCTCTACTCTTATTTAATTATGTGACAGAAATACTTGTGCAGTTCTCTCTTGTTATCTGACTTCACAAGCATCGACTTTGTCAAAGTAGACTCTTTAGTAGACGACATATAGTACGCAGGTAACATAGTCCTATCAGACGGTGATTGGAACGCGTTTCTCATTAACCAAGTGGAAACTGTTGCTCCAGGAATGATTTGCGTTGATACCCACATAAAAATAGGTAATGAAGTCATTGAGCGCACTGACCACTCCGTTTATCTAGGAAGTCAGATCAGTTCTACTGGGTCATTTACCGAAGATATCTCTGAATGGATAAAAAAAGGCTCGCTTGACCTTTGCCAACCTAGGCTACTTAGGGCATTGTCATGATACCTAATTGCCTATTAGGGTCGAGTGTATCGTGCGCAGGTCCCTTCATTTCGTCTACTATACGCCTACAAAAATGGCAATTAAACATTGAGGACATGAGAAGGCTTCAGATATTCGATCAATGTTGCCTGTGTAGCATAAGTGGTGCGTCGTGGTACCACTACATCAGTACCATAGCAGTCAAGCACAGAGTTTTGGATAGAAGGGGAAATTCAGTTGGTGAGGTTGCGAACCTTCATCGACCGAGGTGTGACATACGCTACGCATGCCTACTCACCGTCTGCACCACTACACAATGTTAGCTGAAGTAGATTCAAGCTGGAAAATGGTTGAGGACGGTCAGAGTAAAAAATAACATCAGTCGATGAATCCTGAGTGCTGATCTGATTCGCGAGAGGGAATGTAGATTTCCTGGTTGAAGTCTGTGTGACAAGCAAAATCAATGAACAGTGGGACTTTAGGTGATGTGGTTAAGAATCAGTGTCAGTGGTGCAGATGCGTTCACACACTTTATTTATCCCAAAGAAAACGCATGATTTCTCTACCGTTTAATTACATATTGTTTTCTTCCCATGACTTCCCACCACCTTTGTAGGCCTTTATCTTTATTTCTCTTTCTTTCATCATAGTAACTTCTCATCTAATGCGATGATACGAGGTGTGAACTCTCCAACCGTTACGCAGTAGTACCAAGTCCTACTTTGATACAGACTGACTTGATTCCAGCTGGAATACCACATCAGAGTATATAGCGTCTTGATATGTAAAACACATCCCAACTAACCCATTCAGTGAATATTTATAAACTGCTTACCTGGTTTACTACCTCACCCCTTCTTAACTAGTGAACTATGCCTGATTTACAGGTTGTTCATGTGAATCTACTAGATACAAGAGATGCCGAACAACCAACGATGATCGACTGTATCATGACTCGACAAATTTTCCACCTCCATAGTAATATAGTTGAACAGAGTAGATAGATCTTTGGCAGATTAGGATATTTATGGGCTTTCAGATACCGTAAAGGTCACAGCTAACGAAAATTAATAGGAAAGAGAATTAAACGTTTTGTACCCATGTCAAGGTATTGTCGGCTAGTGAGTCAACAAGAATGGTGACTTTTACGTAAGTGGAGGGCATTCAATACAACAAACCATTTCATTCTTCATAGTTAAACGATGCACTGAAATAATACTTTGAGTGACAAGAAACTCATACCATAATATTTTCATACCGTCGCCCAACTTGTTCAGAAGATTCATTATCAGTACCTGCACGTAAAAGAAGTATATCGTCAAAGTATTCCAGATTGATCGAATTATCTGTGAAAGTGTAGTAAAGCTAGACAAAAAGAGTAACATCCATGAATGCGCCTGTGACAATATGGAGCATACAGTGTATACATATCCTTGAGACAGATAACTGGGTGGCTCACTATCGATTTTCGGATAATGGGCTTTCAATAAGGTGACAATGTTAGTTCCCTAACCGTTTCAGTGACACAACTGCAACTAGATCCCTCAACAGGCAAAATCAAATGCGGCGCCTAGATCGAGAAACATGGCTAGTGTGGAGTATGTTAGAAACCGATAAAGATTTGGTTGGTTGCCGTTTCCCAGCTCCAATATGACATCGAATGGTTATGGGTCATAAAACCTTAGGAAATGTGTTGATCAGTTCCAATCTTACATGGTTATGACAAGAGGTCTTCCCTCTTTTTTCGGATAGGCTGACACGATTAGTTATAAAGTAATCATAGGATATAATGTACAACTTCGACATCTCAAACAGTACATCAACCAGCTGTGTTTGACCAACTTTATTTTCGAAGGCTTGTTATCGAAAGACATAACTTATTCATTTTCTTGAGAATCATGTTTATCAGTCAGTTAACAATGAGAAAAAAGACTGCAAACACAGCGCTGACATGCTGTAACATAAGCTTTAGTAGTTGGTGTTGAAATACTACTTTTCGACACATTTTTATGCTTCTTGATATCCTCTAAGTATGAATTCATTAATGGAAGAGCGAGATCGACTAAAAGTAGTTTTCTACAGCATGAAAAGTATGTTATAAGTCTGACTCTAGTGACCCACAAAGTATATTTTATAACTAGAGTTCAATAAATTCTACGTGTTAACAAATGAGTAAGAATGACATTTTAATTTTATAACTACTTTGATTGGCTGCACTGCTACAGCGCCTTTGGTAAAACAAAACGTAGGAATTAGTTCAACTGTTTAACTATTCAGAAGTTCATACTTCAACAGCAGAACAAGGAAAGATTAATTAACAAGGGGAAGTGTGAGGATGAGGAATAGTCCCAACAAAAGTAATGCAAACTAAGAAGGAAAAGCAGAGAAAATAAATCAAAATCAAGTCAGACAACATACAAAATGTGTAACAAGATATTGGAGATTTCGATGAGGATAAAGTTTAGGCCTATATGTGACATTGATGTCTATGTTAAATGGTTTCCCCTAAGGTTACCCAGCATTGCTTTGAGATGTCTAGCAGACTTCAACCGGAAAGCCTACAGTTTCCCAGATGACTCAGGTCAGCAGTTACACGCTTTAGGTTTGATCTTCCTAGAACTCCTATTTTATTCCTACTACAGCCACGATAACATCGAGATACAGACCTTGAACCCATTGATGAATATGCTTACTTTAAAATGCCTGACGTTTTCAGTCTTAGTTTACTTTCCAAGTACATATCACAATTTCACCTGCCTTTGGATGTAACGCATGTAACTGCTATCTCAGAACACTCAACTGACTTTCAAAGTCACAACTGCTCACGAGAACACTAAAAAGAAGAGATTAAGCTGCCAAGCAGGCAGTGATGATAATTTAGTCTCCCAGACATGGAATTCCGAATAAATTCCTTTCTCATGTTGGTATTCATCAAGGACTAACATCAGTTAATGAACTACTGAAAACCTAGGAGCACCAGACAGTTGTTTTGTCTTGGTATGGGGTTTTTCAGTGGTACGCAGTCACAACTCCCTCCCCTCCGAATCCCCAGGGGGGCCGAACCCAGGACCTTTAGATTTCGATATGAGTGGATTACTAGTGCTCCTAAGTTTCCAAACGTTCTCCGACCAGTGTCAGTCCACGAAGAATACTAGTCTGAAACCAAGAAATCCCCAACAGACCTCGAAGCTAAAATTCCTTCTTATTAAAACTCTCAGTTCATACCAACTGAAAACGCAATTTTTTTCTTTTCAAGAACACAATTACAAAACTCCAAACTAACCTGATGCAGCAGTCCGCAAGTAATTTTCGCTGGGACTATTGTTCCATTTTTCATATGCATTTGTATCCGACTGGCGAATTCAGAATCTGAGGAATCACGAGCTTGTCGGAGTAATTCACCCGCAGATAAATGTACAAATCCATATTCCTAGAGCAAATTAATGAAGACGAATCTCAGAACAGCACTTCGTTATCAACCATGCAACCTATAAACGAATAATTGAAGTAAACGAACAACCACACCACCACCCTTGATGACCACTGTGAAACTAATAAAGAGGACTACCAACTGAAAGAGTGAATGACACCAATTTTGAAACAAGGTAAATGAACATCAGTTAAGAAGCCTGGTAACAGTGCAGAACTAAAGGAAGTTAGAGTATTAGTTGGACGATAACAATAACAATAACGCTGGAGACAAGTCATTTGACTATTAAGCAAAGAAGTTCAACAGTATATAAAATCATGTATGTAGGGTAAAAAGCTGGCGAGTTCTACTGAAATTTATGAATGCAAAAAATTCTGCTTTAATTACGTTTGTTGCTTGTTTTAAAATGGTTGTCTTCTTGAAACGACTACTCGCTAATGTAAATAATGTTTGAAACACATACTGTTTAGCGACATAATTCATTCCTTTACATTGATTTTGATGATTTTCATTCACCTTCACTCGTCTCAAGGTGGTTTTTTATCACAAACTGAAATCTGATAGAGAACCACTGCAAGCCTTGGAGGACTGGATAGATATTTCGACTTGGCACACGACTTCAGCAGAGCGCAACCACGAGTTTAACATGCATCTGGTCTCACGTTGTTGCCTATCCAATCGTATTCCGAAAAGAACACAGAGACAGGTTACCCAACTCTTGAAGAAGTGTAGAAGGTAACAAGTGATCTGAAACAATGAAGGGCATCATAGCCATATGGACTAGTAGCAAAGATATTTTAGGACGGCGGTTGCGGACTATTCTTCAGGTTAAGTGAAGTGTTAGCTAGCATATGGGATTCATATATTTCCCTATTTGGTTTCAATCACTATTTCACTTTCCAAGAAAGGGGAGAAATTCTCGTGTGATAACCACAGGGGAATCAGTGTGACGAACATGGCCTAAGATCTTACGTTCTATGTTCACCAGACACGGTTATCCGTATCACTTACGTGAACATATTTTATCTGCCGTCATAATAATAACGACTCTATAAGCCTTGATATGACTGTGTGAACTTCAGAACAGAATTTTGATTGGTATAACATTCTTGTTTCGTATCTTAACACTGTCACATCTCTCAATTGATACCATAAGATAGCGCTTTAATGTAGAAAAATACAGAAATTTTCGGGTACTACCAAGTATGCTTGTGTCCCAAAAATTAAAGGATGAAATTATGAAGTATGCATTCCCTTCCACATCTGAAATCTGTCTGATTTTCTTCACTTTGTTAATCTCAATGACTGTAAACCTAGTATCGTACACACCACAATAGTCAGGTTGGTTTACCAGTGATTATCGCAGCAAGATTCCTCTCCCATTTCTAATAAACTGGAATGATCAAGGGAGTAGATCAATCTGATGGGGCTTCCCCTAATTGCCACAAACTAGCCAGTACTCGATTACGCTAATCAGTAATTCTTGCACTCCACTCTAGGAGATTCTTAACGTCAAACAATCAGGTAGTATTGCTTCACATTATTTCAGGTTTTAAAAAGCCTTTTCAAATTCGATGAGAGTTGAAAGACCGACGTCTACATTACATTTAAGTTAGTGAGAGGTTTGGAGATAAGACCTTAGCTCTAGGGTGATTGAATGGCTTTTTGAACTGCCCGACCCAGTTTCGTTCGCTTTATCTGAAACGTTATCGAGGACCCACCCTTGTCCATTACACTCTGACCGCCTATTGTCATTTTCGCACCGATCTCTTCAATAAGTTAAAACAATTGTCGAGTATTGGGCATAAGTGGTTCCGTCTCTACCACTTATGCCATCATTGTCACCACAAAGACCCTTCTTTTAGGTCCATATGAATGAGACTATAGAAATCCTCTACCTTTACTAACTTTGGTTGCAGGTTACTCAGTTTAACTGCTGCTGTCAGTCAGTTAGATAAAACCAAGTACCACACAGGTACCAACAGAGATCGAGCAATTTGGCCCTATGTAGTAACGGGAAATACTAAGTATCAAAACAGAAGCCGATACTCGTTGCACAAGAGATGGCTATCGGACCCCAGTGGCCTAATAGATAACGCTCTGACATTTGAAGTGATGGGTACCGAGTATGAGTCCCAGAGGGAACAACATCACTCAGTGGGATGAAAATACATCCAGCTGACGAGTCCCAGATAGGATGAAACGCACGTCCTGGATTCCACTACTAGTCACTAGGACGAATGTTGCATCTGTTCAAGTTGCCCCACTCTACAAGCAGCATGTAAAGAACCAATAGGTAGAAAAAGACTGGTATTAAAGTAGACAGAGGTATATTAGGAGGGAAGTAATTACAAAATGAAGATTATTCAAAATAGTCAGGCTTTAGAAGATGTCAGGGTGAATACATCTGCAGACATTTTACTAAGTGTCCCAAATCATTCATTCCTATCATCTTGAGGACCTCAAACAGGCAATCTACAACCTCTCTAATTACATGTTGCGGACTATCAGTGGGACTTTATAGTCATCCTGAGATCTCTTCTCAACCAATTCTACTTAAGTCAACATTGCATGTCGGCATACACAATACATGTCCGAGCCACTTCAGTCGGTGAAGATTCAAAACCTTATCAACTACCTTGTCTTTTCTGCCTAGTAACCTTCACATAACCTCGACATTACCCACAAGGTGATCCCACTATACGTGAACGATTCTGCGAAGATGCGTGTGATCAAAGACCTGGCATATTTTTATAGCTTGCAATTTTAACGGTCATGCCTTATCAGCAACCAGCCCATTCAGGGCGATGGAACATCCCGAACGAATGAAAAAATCAATCCATTCGACCTCCTCACTCTCTCTCTCTCTCTATCCTTAAACTGATAGTAACTGAAGACCAGTGTTGAAGCAGCATCTAACATTCATCTTTCTGTCGATTTAACAGGTGCAAAATACCTGCCAAACATATACAGATTTCTGCTCACCGCGTTCAGAAGACTCTGCCTTTTATCAGTATTTTGCATAGTAAGGTAATATCGCCCGCATACTCGATTCAATTGAATGCCCCTCATAAATTTGATCTATCGGTTGTAAAGTCAGATGTACCTAAGGTTACGTTTATTAACGCAGTTAAACAGGAACAGTGACGATGAGTATCCTTGGCGGAAACCATTAGTTGTTGTTAATTTAGGTGACAACTCCACATAAGCCCATATGTGGAGGTGTTAATTCCAATAGACAGCCTTGATTAGTGTTACATACTGCCTCGCTACTCCCTTCATAGTCAGACACCGACCAACAGGATCAAATCCCCCTTTAGCATTAGAAATATGGCAAGTGTCGTTGGCCGGTAAGTATGCCTTTGTCCCATAATCTGACGAGTAGAGGTCTGGTCGATGCACCGTCGTCCAGGTCTGAAATTCACCTTTTTTTCTCAAGTCTTAAGTTTTCGAGCTCCACACATTATCAGAATCGCTTTTATATTTTGACCGAGGTTTAGTCACCATCATCATCATCATCAACATAGGACCAGGCATTACTGCGTAACGGTCCGAGTTGCCACACCTCATATCAGCACATCAAGTAAAAAGGTAGTGAGGTGAAGGATGAAGATAAGTGAATGCAGTCAAAAGAAATATAAAGTACGAGAAGAAAGGAAAGAGGAGTGACAAAATAGTGAGATTCGGTATAGCGTTGTTAAGATGAGGATAATGTGTGTATACATCTGCGCCACTGACTTCGGTTCTGAGCCATATCACCTAGGGTCTCCAACCACTGGTTCCTCTTGTCCCGTGGACCCCAACCACCTAGTCTGCATCGTCCTACATGGCTTAAACCAACAGTCAGAGACTTCATACATTGGTGCCATGTTTTAGTCTGGCCACCTCGGGCCTTTTTCCAGCCTGAACCCACCTCAGCCAACATTGTGTGACGAGGCAATCGGTGACTAGGCATACGTAGTACGTGTCCCAACCATCTCAGTCGATGAAGGTTCACAACCTCGTCGACTGACTTACCTCTTCTCCCAAAACTCTACACCTAACTTCTGCATTACTCACATGGTGACACCACGGAATACGTCCTATACTACGAAGGCAACGGTGGTCAAACACCTGAACCTTTTGTCTTCCACTTTCAATGGCCATGTTTCACAGCCATACAGTAGAACAGAGCGGACTGCTGTGCAGTACACGCGACCCTTAATAGACAAACGAATATCACGGCGGCGCCATAGGTGGCGCAAATTGGCAAAAGCCAATCGAGCCTTTTGTATCCGTGCAGAAATCTCATCGGCAACTAACCCACCGGGTTGATCCTACTTCCCAGGTAAGTGAAGTGGTCAACACACTCAACCACTTCACTCTCTATTGTTAACCGCGGTACCGCTGAAGACCAGTCCTGGAGCAAAAATTTGCATTTGGGTGGTGAAAATCGCATCCCAAACATTCTCAAATTCCCACTCAAAGTGTTCAGAAGACTCTGCATCTTGTCAGCGTCTTCACCTAACAGGACTATGTCATCTGCATATTCTAGATCTAAGGAAAATTCACCTGTGATGGGTCAACGTCTTGTAATTAGGTGACGAGAGGGAAACCTCCATAAGAATATCTATGATAAAATTAAATAAGAATGGGGATAGTGGGCATCCTTGACGGACACCACTTGATGAGTATAGCTCCCTGGACAACTCACCATAGGCTCTAACATGCCCACAAGTGTTCGAGTAGAGAGCTTTCAATAAGGTGATGTACTTACTAGGCACGCCTTTCAGTGACAGACACTGCCATAAGACTTCTCGATCAACGGAGTCAAATGCCGCCTTCAGGTCGAGAAATACAGCTATTGTCGGGCGTCTGTAAGCATGCCTATGTTCCAGGACCTGGCGCAGTGTGAATATTTGGTCGATACATCCACGGCCAGGTCTGCCTGGTTTTCTCGGGCTTGCTGTTCCCGAGCTCCACTCAGGCGTCGGAGAATTATAGAACTTAGGATCTTAGACACTATGTTTGTCAGGCTGATTCCTCTGTGGTTATCACAAGAGGACTTCTCGCCTTTCTTGAAGACTGGGATGATGAGTGACTTAGACCAGTCGGAGGGGATCGTATTTGATTCCCATATACTGGCTAACACTTCCGTTAGCCTGACTAAGAGAACTCTACCACCATTCTTGTATACCTCAGCAGGTAGTCCGTCTGGTCCTGCTGCCCTTCCCGTTTCAGGCTACCTACCGCTTTCTCAACTTCTTCTAGTGTTGGGGGACCTGTCTCTATGTCCCATTCAGGGTCCGACTGGATAGCGGGCAGCGCAATGGTGGCTGGAGGCCAGTTAAACTGTTCCTCAAAGTGTTCTGCCCATCGTCCCAGTCGCCTTCCCTGCGAGTGAATCGCGATCCGTCCTTCTCCGCTATAACCTCACTAACTGTTGTTGACCATTTCCCCCCAGTCTCCTTAATAAGTCTAAATAACTGTCTACTGTTACCGATCGCCGCTGCCTTTTCCATCTCTTTAGCCTTTGCTGCCCACCACTGTTCACGATCGTTGCGCAGACTTTTCGTCAGTTTATTTTTAAGTTGCGCTCGCTCTTCATTGTACTCAGAGCCTGCAGGGATGCATTCACGTGCATCCATTAGTTTGGAAGAAGCTGCTGATATCCACTGGCTCTTTTTAGCCATTATCTTGGAGTCGGCTACAGTCTCCAGTGCTGCTTTTACAGTAGACTGAAGATGGCACCAAGCTTCTTCTGGATGAGTGACAGTCTTTTGTTCCGATAACTGCCTAGCCAACTTCTCACTGAACACGGCTTTGGTGTTTTCGTTGTCCAGCAGAACTCGTAGTGGTTTTGTTGCCAAATTTTTTCTACGTCCATTGAGACGCAGGCATATACGTGCTCGGACCAACGCATGATCGCTGTCCAAACACGTACTCCAGAAGGAGCGGCAGTCTTCCACCGATCCTCTCCAGCGATGACTAATAGCAATGTGGTCTATCTGTGTCCATCGCTGAGTCGAGCTCGGTGGACGCCAGGTCAGACAGTGCCTTTCTTTATGTCTGAAATTTGTGCTGGCTAAAAATAGGCGGTTATCTGAGCATAGTTGTAATAGGCGATCACCGTTATCTGTACGTTCAGCTGGGATTCCGAAAGTGCCACCTAAGTGCCTTTCTGCCTCACTCAGTCTACCCACCTGTGCGTTGAGGTCACCTGCAACAACCACTACGTCCGAACGTTTGGCTTTCGAGAGGAGGTTAGACAGTTTATGGTAGAACTCGTCCTTCACTTCATCCGAACTACAGTCAGTGGGTGCGTAAGCAGAGATTACAAAGAGACAACGGCGAGTCTCACTATTCCTTTTAGTTCTCACTGTGCCGTTCAGCCTCATAGCGCAGAGGCGACTATCAACTGGGATCCAGTCTAGTAGTGAGTTTTCTGCCCTGGTGCTTAATGCTATACCTACACCTGCAAGACCACGAGAGCTAGCTATCGAATCTCCAGAAACTCGAAGGGTGAATTTTGCAGATTCACCAGATTGGTCAGGAGAGGTCAGGTGAATAACCACACTTGGGTCCTGTATGCGTGTCTCACAAACACAGCACACATCCATGCCCGAGTTGCTAGAGTCTTTGCCAACGAAGCCTGTTGGCCAATTTGACGGAGGGTGCGGACATTGAAGGCTCCAATATGTAATTTGGAGCGTGGTTTAAGGAGACCAGGGGCTGTTCTGTGGACTCAGATCGTTGTCGAAGGCTGCAGAGGTAGGAGAAATTGAAGATGATGCAGCATCATTAATTAAGAGACGTGAAGGAAGATTAGAAGGTAATGATGGAGGAGGAGGATAGCAGTCAGAAGAAACTTGGGTGCTGACAGAGTTGTGAGGGCGGTTGACACTTCCCGGCTGCCCACACCGTGGAAGGCTATTTCTTCTTAAGGTACCTGAAAGAGATTTGTGTGACCGCAGAGCCCATCGGACATCTGCTTGAGGCCTGTCACACCCAGCCTTTTGAGTATGATTATTTTGAATTTTTGTATTTTTGGGGCCGGATGGTCGAAAGGAAACGACAAGTGAACCAACACCGCCGGCCCGGCAGACCGTGGGGCGTGGTGGAGTGTGTTATTTTTGGGGCCGACCTTTTCTAACCCCCCCTTCCACTGAGAAGGCAGCATCAGCATGGCACTGCTGGTCATCCAAGGGAAACACCTTACTGCTGTCACACCCCATCCAGCTAGCAGCAGTACGACTTCGCCCTCAGACCCCCATCATAGTGTAGCAATTTACACTATGACGGTAACTGCTTTTCGTCTAACCACTACCCAACAGACCTTTCTGGTATGGTAGGACCTCGAGGGAACAAGCGTTCCACCAGCATAGCTCGTTGGGTCATTGTGATATGCAAGCCCGACCACCACGTAAAGGTAGCAGCTATCGGTTTAGTCACCGTATCTTCTCAAAACCGATAAGAGGTCAGGTGTGGTCGCCGTAAGCGAATGTGATTACAACAGCAAGACAATATCCATCCTTAGGGAGGAAAGTAAATATGTGACTGATGTTCTGTCGGATGACTTTCGAAAATTAGAAAATACAGTAATATCTAATCTAGTGGAACTCTTGAATATGAATTTCATCAGTAAGGAGGAATTCGCTTCCCAAAAACCTATTTGGTTCGGGTTACCTAAAATTCACAAGACCAACAATCCTCTACGTCCTATGCTGTTTATATGTTGTTCACCTACATATGAATTGGCGAAATGCTTAGCCAAAAGTGTATTTCCTATTAGAAGTGAGATATGTAGGTTTTCTTTGAAAGATAAGTTTTAGCTTTTAGATCATCTTAGTGATATTAATTGGTATCAGAGACAAGAATTTGTGAACTCCTTACTTACCAGACCTCCTAAACAATTGACATTATTTGTGACCATACATCGTGTAGTTTTTCTTTCCCTGTGCCTTCGACGTGTTTGAAAGAGCTGTTTTTATTATGTAATGATGAAGTTCATTTCACATTTGAAGGGGAACATTCCCGACAAATAGATAGATGGTGAGGCAAAGGTAAGTCCTCTAGAACTATTGCTAGCTGATATTAACGTCAAATATTGGGAGCCTGACTGATCTTACTGGTGAAATTACTTTCTATAGGAAATATGCTGCGATGTGAAAAACCCGAAGATGAGACATGTTCGCTAGAAAGACATAACACTGTACAAGACGATATGCACTTAACGTGTGAGGAATCTTTTCCATTTTCTCATTCTTCCTTTCTCTCCTTTCGTATTTTATATTTCTTTTGACTGAATTTTCTTTTCTTCATCTTCCACTTCACTGTTTTTTTTTAAATGATGTAATGACATGAGGTGTAGCAACTGGGACCATTACGCAGTAATTCCTGGTCCTGTGTTGATTTGGACAGGTGGATGAGTCGTGGGAAAGACGGTTCAATGAAATGGTCGATTGGCGGGGAACTTACTTGGAGAGGGTTATAGCTTTTATGCAACTCAATATAGCCGAGGTTTGATAAGCGCTAACTCAAAAGGGATCAGTATATTTGTACAGAGGTCTCAATGGATGATGACATCAAAGTAGTAACCGAAACCCACTCTGTATTCTGCTCCGAAGAAATATGTTTATATAGTACTACCATACAGAGGGGAATCTTACAGCGTAATTTAAAACGAAGGCTAAAACCTGCCATCAGTAAAACATTATTCAGCTAGGCTTATCGTAGTCAAGAAAACCAAACACATTTTGCAACATAGACCTCATCACTGCACTAGCGACTGCGTCACATCACACTACGTCTATTGGTTTACATGTGATTGTGTGAACGCACATACATAGGGGGGACTAATCGAGGTACGCACTTGAGGATGGCAAAACGTACCAAAATGGCTACAAAAGCAGCTGAATTCACAAACATTGATAAGCGCGGTTGATAGACAGCCATCATTATCCACCGCAAAACATTATTAATAAAGATTACAGAATTGATACTGAAGCAGCCATTTCAATATTGCAAACAAACTGCCAGAGGCGATACTTGGCTTTGTTGAAGAGCTAACAACAGAGAAATTTAAGGCATCTTGAGTGTTCAAAAAGTTTTTTCTCACGCTAAACATGTCTATATTAGTGTGAAACTCTACCTATCAAGAAACGTATAGACGTTCTCATCAGAATCATACATAATTTACTCATATCACTCAGCAGTACTATTTAATGTTTCCACTTTGCGAACTGCATGAAACTCAAGTATAACCCACGCGTTTGCGAAGAATGCAATGAATGCAATGCAATAACTGACTGGTTAGGTGGTTTAAGCATTTAACTTCCGATTAATTGATCCGGAGTTGAGACTAAACCCCAGCAACTTCACAGTGGGCAAGCGAATAGTAATAAAACGCTCTCACAGAATAGGCTAGTACGTTAAGTATACCTGTGCTCAGTTCAGCTACATTATTTTATTTATTATCTATAATTTAGTGAATGGATTAAAAATATCTAACAAGTAAATTTACTACCAACGATGATTATTTTGTAGTTGGCGTTGTTACGCTTTACACTGAATCTTTCTACTCGTAAAGTACACACTAATCACTTCAGTAGTCAATGACATGTCAATAAGGATAATAATACATTTGAATTAATGAAACTCACTAACTTTTACAATCTGCTGACACACGGTACCTTTCCCCGCACCTGGTCCACCCAATACAAAACAAACATTAAACTTCATCTTCTGATAGTTGGCAATATTTGATTTTATAGAAACTGGTCTCGTTAAAAACAGTGACCGAATTCTGCAATGAAACATCAAATGTTACCAAATTAGTAGGAAATGAATACTACTTGTCGAATTTTTGATGAAATAGATATCGGCACAACACCTCACGGTCGACAAAGTCGAATGACGCCTTTAGGTCAAGAAGTATGGCCACCAGCAGGTATGCCTATGTTCCATAACCTATCAGAGGGTGAAAATATGACTTATGCACCCTCATTCAGGTCTGAAACCTGCCTGGTTTTCTCGAGTTTGCTGTTCGCCAGTCCCAATTAGACGTGGGGTAACCATGGACCCTAGGATCTTGGACATAGTGTTAGTCGCACTGGTTCTTCTATGGTTGTCAAATGAATGGTCACAGACCTGGACTCTCATATGCTACCTAATATCTCTGTTATTCTACTCGGTAACTTTCTATATCATTTCATACGAACTTCGAGTTGCAAACCATCAGGTCCTAGTGCACTGCACTGTTTTAGGTTTGAAACAGCCTTCTTAACTTCGAGAAGAGTTAGGTGACCAATATATGAGTCCCATTCAGGTTTGGGCTGGTAAGATGCTGGACAACTGAAGCGCAGCTGTAGGCCAGTAAAACTGTCCCCTAGTGTTCCATCCTATGCTCTAGCTAACTATCCCGAGAGGTTATTAGCGACCCAACCTTTTCAGTGATGGTCTCACTAACCATCGCTTTTTGGTGCTAATATACTTAATAAGCTTAAATAATCGCCGAGTATGACCTAATACCGATGCCTTCTCCATCTCTATCTCTTTCTTTCTTCACTTACCACTGCTCTTAATCAGCCCAAAAGTCCTTTGTCCACTTATGTTTGAGCTGCTTTTACTCCTAAATGTAGTCAGCAGTCAGTTGGGATGAGTCTTTTCACACCCAATGACGACGATGACCACTGCACTCAGTGCGTCGACGCTTTAAACGTCTCGTAGTGAACCTCTTCAGATACATGTTCTAGAATCCAGGTCTCTGTCTGATTGGGAACGAGTGGCAGTCATCCCAGTACATAAGGGTGGAAATAAACTTATTACCTCTAGATAGACTAATCTCTCCAATCTTCTCAGCTGCGGTTAGGGAAAGAGTAATACACGACTCATTTTGTGGTTAATCACTAAGGTGATCAATCCTAACAGACTCTTAATGCGGGTTTTTACCTGATAGGCCATGTAACGCCATGTTCATAGCTTGCAATAGCTGAACTCTGTTGCATCGAAAAATTCCATTCATGTTAGGCTACTTGATTTTTCGAAGACAATTAGTGCGGTTAATTATCAGATACTATACAAGAAACTTCACTTTATGGGTGTACATGGAAAGCTACTCGGTTAGTTTAGGGATTACCTGAACGATCGGTTGCAAACGATCAGAGCGATTTTCCTTGTTTGATTGTTTTCCGATACCTATTGGGGTAACTCAGTGTTCCATTCTTGGTCTACTACTGTTTGCTTTTGATAAATGAATTACTTATAACCCTAAATTCTCATCCACTTGAATATCCCGATCTGAAGATTTAGAGTCAAATACAGTGCTCTGTCTTTCAGGAAGACCTATTCAAAATCTTGAATTAAACGAGTGGAAACTTGCCCCTATTATCACCGAAAAGTATAAGACAGATAGATAAATGAAAGCAACGTAGAACCTCTCATAAAAATATACCAGTTCTAACTGCTACCCCTCACAGTAGTATACACAGAACAAGATAGAAAACACTTAGATCAAAGTAAAAAAGTGTATGGGAGGAGAAAGGATTTAAAAATGAAGACTAATCAAAACGGTCAAGCTTTAGCAGACATCACGGATTGAATACATCTGTGCCACTGTGATCGGTTTTCGGTCACGTCATCAAGAGTCCTCAACCACTTATTCGTATCGTCTCGGGGGCCCCAGCCAGGTTATCGACACCTCCCTAAACTCCTCATACCAACATTTAGGGATTTCATGAACTTATGCCATGTCTTGGTCTGGCCACTCTGAGCCTTCTTCCAACTTAGTCCAACTTCTGCTAGCATTGCACGTCGAGGCAGGTGGTGACTGGGCAGACGCAGCACGTGTCCAAGCCACCTCAGTTGATGAAGATAATGCTAGTTGGACAAACGTAAGCGTAATATCAGTTCTTACTCCTAGGGCAAGTAAATATCTCTCACTCAAACATTAAAAAGGATCTGGGGGTTACCCTTAGTGATACACTTCAAGCTTCTGCTCATTGTGGCTTTGCAGCAAACACGGCTTATGGACTCCTGAAGTACTCTTCAAGACCTATAGAAAGATTAACCCGGGCTATTCGAAACCATGCATGGTCTAACCCAAAGAAGAATTCGCTTGTTGTGTCATCTTACTTGACACAAGACATCGCTATCTTGAAACGGGTTCAGAGAGCAACTACGAAGTGACTGAATTAAAATGTAAACCTTACCCGGATTGCTCTGTCGCCCTTAAGCTTCGATCGGTGCTGCACAGGTAGGTCAAATGCGATATGATCATGGTGTATCATATCGTCCATAATCCCTTCTATCTGAACACTGTTTTTGCGCTTTAACCAGAAACCTACCTTAGAAGTTATCTTTTAACAGTAGAGCATATGAGGGCATGGATGAAAAACTATGCTAACTCCTTCTTAGTTAAGATATGTAAACTGTGAAATTCTCTTCATGAAGTTATTATGACCCTTTTCCTGACGCTTCAAAAGGTTAGACCCCCACATACAGCCCATTCGTACGAATGGACTGTATTCTCGTCGACTAACAGACCTCGGGCATACCCAATATATGTTTCACGAGCTTGTATACACCAAACAATTTCTTCGCACGCACTTTTAGGTCTTACGGAACGGTTACAGACATTCAGTGGATTCCGATGCAGTAGTTCCACCCACTCGCCTTTTTAGCTCTGGAGAACCTGTGTCAATCAAATTTGTACATGGGTCTACGATTTTTCTTCGGAGCGTGATATAGATGAGTTCCTCAAATGTTTTGCCACACAGCTGTTGGAACTATTCGTAAGAGGAAGATACGGAGAACGAAAAGAAAGTGAGAAGAATGAATGGGGAAGAAAAGACAACCACGAAAGTAAGGAAAGTAAAATGAAATAAGGAACCTCGGTAGATCCAAGAAAGATAAGAACGAAAACAGTGATATAGAGAACTTTATTGAACAGGACGAAACCGTATTCAGAGGAAGGGAAAGAAGTGGGGAGGATTAGAATAGGAATGATAGAAAAAGAGACGATATTAGTAGTGGTATGGTAACTGAAGAGATAAGACGTCTTGTACAGAGATAAGAATCAATCGAGTTCATGATAATAGTGGCAGTACAAGAGAATCGGTGCGGAGAACTGTGCTGGAATGGAGTCAGTTAATTGTTTCGACCTAGCCTGTTACCTAATCGCATGAGCGCATAGCTATCCAAACTTTTCTCGAAGCCATCAACAAACGAAGAAGTGACAACCTCGGCGAGTAATGTGTTCCAGTGACCACAAACTTGCAGAGAAAATGTGTGAATATACATCGGTTTTCACTCTTTGATAGGCGATTCCCTGTGAGTTTCAACGAGGAATGATATAATGATCATTCGGTAAAATTCTACTGTTCGCGTAACTTGGACTACTTAGTATCTGGTAGGCCATTTTCAAAGCACGTAACCTATGGTAATTACGATAGTAAATGTATATGTCCTTCAGCCTATCCTCGTATGGTTTTTGCCCTATCCCTACGACACTTCGCAGATCGCCGCTGAACTTCCTCCAGGGTGTTCACATCACTTTTGGTAGTTTGGTAGTGCGATGACATTGTGAACCTCTACGTTTAGTCGTCTATGGCTCTTGTAAAGCTTCGGAGAGAATCCCGGGGTAAGGACATCTAGTTGTCTGCACACCAACCTAGTCAACATTTTTGCGGGTAAACTCGGAGACATTATCAAAACAGGGAGCAAAATCAAAAGAAACGCGAGGAATAAAAAGCACGGGGCGACTGGTGAAAAATAAGAGGCATTTCGTGTAGAAAGGGGGGCAAAACGCGGTTAAAAACCTTAGGGAAAAGCTGAAGAGTCACGCGTTCATCCCCGAGTTTCCACTGCAACCTGCCTCACGTAAATGTTGACAAGGAGGTGTAGCACTGCGTAAGCGTATCCCTGTTAACTGGAAATGCCGTACAGTTTGACAGTTAGTATTGTTCCTAGGTCTTTCCGCCTGATCGTGCGAGAAAGGTGCATGCCACAGGAAGAGTGGGTCGGAAGTACGGGAAAATCAAGACCTTGCTCTTGTCCAGACTAAACGTCACTCCTTTTGCAACTAATATTCAGGCATCCTGAGATCTTACTTTATTTCATTCGATTTTGGGAGCTGCAATCACCATAAGAGATCTAGTTACTGATAATCCGCCTTTTTGAAACCACGGCAAGAAATGAGACCACCGCAAACAAATGATGCCTTCCAATAACAAAAAAGGAATCCAAGGAACCGCCGTTCGGAATTTCTATCACACAAAGTCTGAATTTCGGTAAACTATTCGCAGACAGCGGATATCAAGTAGTTCATCAGTGTGGCTTACACAAAACGAAAAAACAACCATAGTAGATATTCTTGTCCCGAAAGATGATAAGAAATTCAACCAAGGAGAAGAAACATACCTTATTCCAATCAGGATGGCTGACAAGCTACGATGACCTTGACATTCAAACAGATGTCAAAGAATGGTGCAAAAAGTTCAAATAGTTATTGACGGAATAGAAATTTTCACCTAACTGGCTTCCGCATCTAAAATCCGTGGATCGCTACCTTTTGTCGTTTTTAACCTGTGTACATGTGAAGAAAGAGGAAGCGTCGGTGGTTAAAATGTGAAAATTCAATTAGTTCTGCTCAGATCCCAGCCACATCTCAAGTAAGTGACCAGTTGGCGTTTAGAGGATTCAGGTGAAGTAGCCTGGGTCAAATCCTCAGGAAGAGCGTTCTGGGTTTAAAAACTCTCAGGAATGGACATTGCGCCTAATAGCTAGTCTGCTATGTTCCAGGCGTGGTTTCTGTCTGTGTGCTACGGCTATCACTGTCAAGTCTCTTCTTAGCCTTCGGTATCCCAGAGGATACATATGCAACGCAACCAGTCTTTCTTCGTATGTTTTAGACCCAGGTCTTCAGACAGTCTTTGTCGAGCGCTTCTTAATGCGTTCTAAGCCTAATTTGTCCTTCTGGAGAGAGGGGGGGTAAGACGACGGTTCCAAACTCCAGGTGAGGCCGTATGAAGCTGTTTAAAATTTTGTGCAAGCATCTACGATCGAGCTGTTCAAAAATTCGTCTAAGAGTTACTGATGCCAAATTGCCACAAAATGCCATTGGGTCACATTTGGCATAGGATTTTAAGCAATGAGGAGCCAGAATCCTCAAATCTTTCTCTGTAACATACGCTTCGAGTCCCATGCTGTTGAGGCTATATATATATGAGGTGCATTATGCTTTACGTGTATCACCTTGCGTTTCCCAGGAATGAATACGAGCCCGTTATCGACTGCCCAGTTTTGAAGTTGAGTTCAGTCTTCCTTTAGAGAACTACTGTCTTCCTCACTTTCGATTTCTCTCCATAGCTTCACGTCGCCGGCAAAAATAAGGATTTCGAAAGAAACTTGTTGAAGCAAGTCGTTCATGTACATTAGAAAAAGAAGAGATCCTGGTACTGAACCTTGGGTAACACCACTGAGACATTCTGTTTCCTCAGACACAGGGGAACTCACTGGAACTCTAAATGAACGGCCTAGTAGATATGAAGACAACCAGTCAGTGGGCGGCGGTCAAATCCCGATTGATTTCATTTCGTCAAAACAGCAGTCGTGATCAGCATGGTCAAACGTCCTAGCAAAATCTTGAAACTCTAAGGCTAATTCCAACTTCTTTAAAATCCTTTACAGTTTTGAATCTCCAAACAGTGATGCACGACTTTCTATGTAAATTTGTTATGACTCCAACTCTTTGTCTGGCAAGAGCTTGCTGACTAAATATTCAAATGGCAACAACAAAACCCCGTTTTCTGGCGGAAGAGTCACAAATATTTTGGGGTGAATATGCTGATGGTTGCGGTTCACAGCACCTCGAGTTTAATATCAAGCTGTATGTTATCCTGCAGGCATGAGCCGACTCGAAGTTTGGTGTGGTTAACGGCGTCATAATGATACACGTAGTTTTCTTATCTAAGGATCTAGTCTTTATCAGCCCTGGAAGTGCAAACCTCTATAGAATCCAGGTTCTCCTTGAAAGCGTTCGCCGAAGGAGCAGCTGCCAAGTGTTTCGGTAGGTCACAGTCATTGGCCGCCTTATGAGAGAATCTCAGTTCTAGTCGTAGTTGATTCGGCTGTGGCTTTCGAACATTTTGTGGTGACCCCTAAGATAAACAGTCTTAGAAGGAGTAAAAAGGTTGCTGTGATCAATATCCGAGTAGTTGTTCACCATGCAACAAGCTAATATGTGGTGTGCTATTTTTTCCCCACATGATAATGGGGAAAAATCCAAATCTTTCAACCACTTTCCACAGGCGAGATGAGAAAGCCTTGTCACTGACGTAGTACCCGCCCTCTGTGTCCACTATACAAATTCTGCTTCTTGCTTGAGGCAGCGACCAGTTGCCTATCTGCAGTTACACAGATACAGTCTTATGTAAGTTGAATGTACCGCTCCAAATATTTCTTATTCAAGGCATTCAATGGCGCAGCTGACTGGCCGCAGCATGCAGAATGCCTTGTCTGTAGCCATGTTACAGTGTGCCATTGTTCTCTCGTTAGGGTTGATGATGGCCCGTTTTGTTTCCCACTAATGAGTAAGGGTAGTACACTCTTGGTCAATGTGCGCCACTGCACTTTTGCCAGAATCGACTCCCAGGCCTCGACGTTTTGACCATTTGGTCAGTTCGTTTAAGTCAGCCTGCAATGCTACCCTACCGTCATTACAATGAACAACCCGACAAACTGCGACGTCGGCTGAGAGTAGTGGGGATAATGACTTAAGCGGATGTGGTAACTCGCTACGACAGAGCGGGAATTTAGGTGGCCGTGGTACAATGCGATCACCAAAACCAACCGGTTAAGACGAGGTGACGTTATGTGTCAATCTCTGAGAAAAATAGACAACAGAGGCAGAGTAGCCTTACGATAAGCTCCTTAGATCCAACCACTCGGAACTATTATCATGTTACATTTCCTAATTCTCATAGTTTTCTTGCAGTTAGTTTCTTCACATCTCTACCAGCCTTCAGTAACTTCCAAATATACCCTGAATACATGACAGGATCCATGCCTCGTCTTGTTTTATCGTTCCACCTTCTGGGAAATTGATGTGCTAACCTGGTGAATGATTTTCTGCTGTCTAGAATTTTCTGAGCATCACACAAGTAATGCAGATGGCTAAAGAAGGGACGACGCTGTCAACTTCGACTTGAAGTGTTTGGGAAACTGAAACTCGCTGACTACTGTCGTGGCCGAAAAGCTGTCAGCCATTTCCGTCAACTCATCAGCAAACCACTGATTCGTGATATTTTCATCGCGGTAGAATATAGATTGTTTCTTTCAATGGAAGGAAGACTCTTCCTCATCATAATAGCTTCATGCTGCCGAACTATTTACTGATTCAAGTACCTGTAGTTCGAGTTTTTCTTTAAACTGGTGGTTAACTTCGCCAGTGTATGTAATTCTAATCCCTTTGGCAACTAATAATGAATTGTCAGCACTTGTGGCAACTTAACTATTTGCTCTGTAACACGTAATGACCTTATTTAGGTTTGCCAGTAACCGCCAAACTGCCAACCGGAAACCTAGCCCCAACGTCATCTCATCCCGAAGGGAATGAACAACACTGTTCCCGATAGAGGAAGATACACCCCTCAGAAGATTATAGTTATTTTCGAATCAGCTTACAACATATGATAACTTCCAGGAATTTTTTGAACGAATCACTGTTGTCAAGTGCCGGTCTCATGCCTTCAGATGTTGACATTTTTATGCCATGGACTCTCAAATATCTGAGATCTGCGATGCAGGTTTGGTGGACGTTTCTTTCGCAACGACTTGCAACTAATTCGATTTTCCCAGGAGCTTGTTTGGAATTTACTGTGATCATTGTTACTTCTCCATTCTTGAAGATTACAGAGAAGGTAGCGTTATTTGTGCTTGAGCCATCACTGCAGGTTGCTAGAGATCATAGTTGTACAAAAACTAAATCACTTGATGTGTTGTCGCCGTGTTAAATGTTGCTATTAACCCCGATTGGCTGGAGGCTTCGTGTCAGAGATGGACGGCTGTGGCCCATCTTCACGTGTTTTCCTTCTGATCCTACCTGACTTCCTCATAGGTTGCGAATTTTTAGGAGAACCTACCACCCAGCTCACTATATTTGAGGCTTATAGCCTTGGGTATCACTCAGCCTCTTTTTCTGCGTTTTATAGACTCCCTGCATCTAGCTTATTATCCTCTGCTGTTTCCATCATTCCTTCCTGGGTTCCTAAGAATGTCCATGCTGTGCCACGAAGAACTCTGAAGATTATCGGCGGAAGTGGTGGTGAACTTCTAACCCTTCTAATTGACACTTTCAGGAAAAGCTTCTCAACTCACTTGAGGAGCTGGCTGGGGTTATTCTGTCAGGCAACCAGCTTCCTCCTGAGAAAATATGTAAAGCTTTATGGACATACTACCAGGCACAAAACTTTTATCGTACCTTATTTGGCTGGGGTCTGTGACAGGGCAACGTTAGAAATTAACTAACCAATAAACCTCGTCGGTAGCGAGTGAATCAAAGATCTTACAGTCTCCTGTTAATTATGTACAGACAGTCTAATTGTTAATGTGGCTGTTTGCCACAGCCGACAACACCAAGCATCGATAGAACATAACGGGTGGTCAGTATCTCTTTGGGAAACACTAGCTCCGCTCAGAGGAAAGTGCTTGAAGAGGACTAAACTCCAACGTAACGATGAGTCATCTAAGGCCCGGACATGTGATACCTAGCATAGGACCGGCATTTGGTCAGATGAATGCAACAACCACTGGACAGGTTGGCGTACACTTTGCATTAGCATCGCAGAAGTAAAAGACCAGACGAAATTCAGCGAAACCATATGGTCTATATATGAATGCCCCAAGAGATGCTAGCAACAGTTATTTGCATATCCAATAGTTAATTCAACGCCAGTTGCGTACAAATGGATCCTCAAGACGACCTATGAACGCAGTCAAACAAAACCATATAAAGCGATCAAGAAACCTATCGACGTTGTCATATGGATGAGATTTAGAAATAAACCATCTGTCCGATACACCTCAGAAACGCCATCTGTGGGCGGGGTTAAATGGTTCAACTTGATGCTTGGAACCAATAATCGTTGTCAGATTTATGACACCATTGAAATTAGCAGGTCAGTTCACCCTATTAGGCCAGTAGGTTACTCCAGAAAATTCCAAACATGTGGGTTATACAATTGCGTGGCGTTGAGAAGCGTTCAAACTCTGGGCTGGCCATTTCCCACAAGTTGAAACTAAGACCTGATGACCCTCGCTTAGTGGGGAATGAAAGACGGTTAATTTCGACATAACGACTCTTCGTGCCAAAATACCAGTCAACATGGTGCTAGATACAGTCAGAAACCAACTTGGTATCGAACCAAAGCATACTCACAGAACTAAGATATTGATGAGATCACGACGGACACACAGTTTCGTCTGATGTCACAAGTCTGCAAGCTTCAGGACCAAAAATGTAGAGAAATGGGCGGAAAGGCAACGAGATTACCGGCATCCCCTGTCGTTGCAGATATATTCGTAGACAGTAAGGAACACATGGATTTACAAACGTTTAATCCCTTATCTAAGATACGGTGGCGATGTATGGACAACGTAGTTACTGTGTAGAAACAAGCACATATTGAAAGTTTCTTCACAAATAAACTCACTAAAAGGTGGAATCCGGTTCATTTATGAGGTAACTGGCGAATAAGCAGAATTAACTGAGTCGCAGGGCAAAACCAAGGACAGATAGTGGTCTGCGGGAAGCCAACACATTCTAAGGGGGATCTGATTCGATATCATTTAAGGAGTATTTAGTAAGACACTTAAATGACAGACACGGAGAATAAATAAGTCAATGGAAGGATTTAGATAGGGTGTAAAGGAAAAATGATCTGAAAATCCCTCCCCATCACCCTTATTTGATTGTATTGACATTTATTTTGACATTTTTACCCTCGTTATGGATGGTGTACCTTTGACCCTCGCCGGTGTAATGTTATTTGCTTGTTTAACTGTCTTATTTGACTTTACACTCGGTATTTGCCTTTGTATGTTGAGACTTATTATGAGTGTTTCACTTTCCTATTATGTGACGCTGGACTGTTGATAAGGTGATGTTGTTTTACTGCGCACGACATTTTGTTTAGGTTCAACTTACGGTGGTGCGGTGATTTGACTGTTTGTCTTTTGACTGTCTACTGGGAACGTTTGCTTGTTGATTTGATTCCTGTAGGCAGAGTTTTGATCCCTTTTGCCGGGAATATTCCTATTGACCGACAGTACGTATTTGTACCCGAGAACGTTTTGGACTGTATAGTTACCCAACGGCACTGTTGAGTACCACAGATTTTGTTACGAATCTACTATTGAATTACTACAAACCGTGTTTTGATATTTCGATCCAACCTTTGACTGTACGTCACTCGCGGAAGTTAGGAAGCTATACAGTAGAACGCAGGAACTAGTCAGATTCACGTCAGTTGGCACCGCCTAGCTATTTCCCGCGTTCAGGCCAGGATTATTGGATTCTGGCCGCTGCATAGGGGATTGAAATGTACATAAGAAGCGCTACTAGCTAGTGGTTATTCGCTTGTTCATTAGGAAACTCCGAAGGACACATAGAACAGCCATATGAATGTTAATAATAATAACAACAACAATAGTATAAAGGAGTTCAAGGTTGACGTTATGTTACCGTGTAAGCAAGTAAAATTGCTAACTTCAGGCAGAGTTCTCGACAAAATTGGAGTCAAGGTTGCATCCAAACGGACAAACCCACCCAGGTATGAGCCCTGCAAGTTTAGGGACCCGCTAGACTCGATTAGACAAGATAATTTGGTCTACCAGATAGCATGTGGCCACTATGATTTCAAGTACACAAGTCATTCTAATGGACCTCAGTCAGTTAAAATATTGGGAAACGGGAATTTAGACAAGTGTGGAGTGAAACGCCCAATTAGGATCAATAATCTGGGCGAAAACTCGGCTATGGCACTGCATGCGTTAACAGGTAGCCACACGACACTTGCTGAATCTTTATTCATTCAATCAACCCACAACATATGCAGTTGGAGCGATCCAACACCCATGGCGGATGTACGGGATGTTTTACTACCAACAAAAACAAGGAGCATGGAGCGACAGAACTATAAGAATTGTGTGTCAAAAGAAGTGTGATTACTTTGATATGATTGCGATCAATAAATAATGCTCGAAACACCATCATGTAAACAACATTGCATCACTCTGAGGTGGCCGTATCAAATAAACAAATATAATACGGAATTAAACTGTGCTGCAGTGCCCAAGTCCCACACTTTCACATTCACTTTGGCAACTGCTACAGAGACACTGCCATACTGAGTACAACTCTCAGTGCACTGGTAGAGGTACCTAACAGTAGGGTATCTAGATCAGATGACTTCCTTAACGATCAGGTAGATAGAGTGATCGTTAGTCTGTTCCCTTCAATTTCTCTGTGCCCAAACCCTCTACATGCGAGCAAGCTCTGGTCGGAATCATGAGAAAGCTGACCACAGAGAGGTCAAATGGGACCAAACAAACTGTGCCTGACTTTATTTCATTGATTCCCTTGATCTGGATCTTGGATGGGGATTGTTGAAGAACGTTTTTCCAAATGAATAATAAGAACACAACTCCAATCCATCCAACGTAGGAACACAAGTATTCACCCAAAATGAGGGTGTGGTCCATGAAACCAATATTTTCTACATCAATAACAGGAAGTTAGCATTCTATCTTAACGAACCCAAGAAACGAGAATCTGAAACATAAATTTGAACAAGTTATTGCTTATGTGTTCAATTATTTTTTCCTGTTATGAATACAAAAATATTTCCATTAGAGACTATCTGACTAAGTGAAATATACCGTGCAAACTATCCTTTATACAATATCAATCTCAGTTGCAAGGGATGACCGCTGGATTTGTAGCTGTTCAAGGTTATGTTTTGAGATGGTTCTAATTGAATGTAAGTGTGTTATGGTTTCACCAAACTAATATTAAGTGTCCTTGTTTGATGCGTGAGCAAAGAAAAATAGATTTTTAGCTTTACCTATAACTTAAGTTTCTGGAAAGCTAATGTTTCTGTTTCAAAAATGGTTTCACATATTTTGTAAATGACCCTTTACAATTAAGCGAAAGCTTCTATTCCGGAATAGAAGCTTTCGCTTCTGTATGTAGAGACAATGGGCTGGAAGATCTTTTTATTGTTAACACGTGATGGTCAAAATATCTGTGACTAAACCCTCCCACATCACCTATTTATACAAGTAGGATTTAGGCGCAGTAGCCAGGCTACTTCTTCAGAAAGAGCATTTCAAAAGTTAGCAACACCCACGAGGTAGAATTTTCTCCTGTTATCTAACCTGGCATGTTCTAGGCTTGGTTTCCTTGTCTCCTAAATTTATTGTCGTAGCTTCAGTTTTCAGTAACAAGGGTAGTAGACCAGTTGTCCTATGTTATTTCTTGCAGTAATTATCTGTGTGAAAATCTAGTTTCCCATTGAACGCGTTGGTCGCAGAAGCTAGTACTACTCTCTGAGACAAGAAGTCCCAGTCAGTGGCCACACGATATGAGAAATGGGGATTCACCATAAGTCTATCGGATCACGGCTTTTGGAATTTCTGATAGTTGCATTGAAGGTAATCAGTCCCAGCAGGAGAGAAAAGATAGAGCATGTCAGTACTGAAGTCATTAATAATAATACGGAATACCACTGTGTGATCACGCTTTTTTCCTACGGTAAAAGGGGGAATAAGTCTAGTCGATCTGATCGTTCCTTATAGAGCAGATTCTAAAGGTCTGCCACAAGCTTACTACCTACCCTTTAAACACGCTAAAGTAGATCAGCATGTTTTTTAGGCATGGACTGGGCTCCTGAATGCAGTATTCCAAGTGATGAAGATATTCTGATCAAAACTTTTGGAAACTGTGAGGATCGATCATAACACAGGGAAACCCTTTACCGTAGTCATACTACAGTGTTTCGAATTTTTCAAATCATGGGTTATGATGAAATAAGTGTTTCATTTCAAAGACTGTGAGTAGTGGTGTACTATCAACCGAATACTGAGACAGTTGATGTGACCAATGTACGTTATTGCACCTTTACTGGAGTTAGTTTCCAGACACCGACGTTTAAACCAACCTACAAGTTCATCCAAATCTGAAACAATTAGTCCCTTTAGTAAATTTCGATAACGCCATTAGAAGACTTATATTATCTGAAAAATGTTGTGCATTTGCGCAGTACATTTCGAACAATCTGATCACACATTTACTTGTCAAGTCAATTTATATATGAAAATGAAAAAAATAAAGGTCACATAAAATGAATACGAAAGGGTTATGACACTGGTCTAGGTAATATAATCAGATAAGGATTACCAAAGTAAATTCAGCGAAACGACAAACTTTGTACACACAATGGGGGCTTAAGTTTAAGAATGGCCAACGCCTCGACAAATTTTGGCATGCTCCCCTAACTGTTCCTATATAAGTATCTTCAGTGCTGTTTTCGTATTAATCTTATGATTCATTTCGATGATATGCTTTTGCTATAGATGAATATAGATGTCTGTCACTTGCACTTATCAAAATTTGTGTTAAACTGTTCACCCAGCCTAGTCTGCGTATTGCGATTACTCCTCCCTATGTATGTGTGCCCACGTATACATGCAAATTGGTAAACACAGTGGGATGTGACATAATGATTTATACGAGGTTCAGGTTTATGGCGAAGCAGGTGTTTTTTTTTCGTAACGGTGATAAACTGAGCTGCATAGTTTGTTTTACTAATAACAGATTTTAATCTTTGTTTCATTATCATACTACTCGTTTCCCCTCTGTATGGTAACTTAAGAAATATATCCTCTGGGACCGAGGAAGTTATAGGCTATTGGGTTAATTGTTTTCTACAACGGTTCACAAACTGTAATGGGTGTCCGTTTTCCATAAATGTGTCTGTCAAAAATTTGCTCTTATCATCCATTGTATCAGGTGTACAAATACGGATCCTATTGAATAAGCATCTTACTAAACCTCCCTTATATTTCATTGAACAAAAGCTGTAGAAACTCAAGTAGGCTTTCAATGGATTGGTTATCTAATAGATCCGTCTTCCCTCCGACACTAGACGATATCAAGTAATGCAAGTTGGTGGACATGTTCTTCCTAACGTATCAGGCCGGTATGATCTTGTACGGTATTAGGCCTGGCATCCTCATGTCACATATTACAACGATGTCATCAATATGGCTTCTATAGAAAGAATGTGACATTACTGATTAAATCCTGAACCATCAGTTCAACATATGACATATACATCAGCTAACAACGGTCCTAATGGACTCCCCATAACAACATCAGTTTGCCGAAAGTGTCCACCTTATCAGTACATAATAAAATTAGCTCTTTCAAATGGAGAAATAGGGAAAGAAGGATAATTCAGGGATATGTAGTCGCAAAGAATATTAACTGTCTTCGTTAGGGGTGTATTCGTAAATGAAGAGTTGACGTAATCCAACTCTGCTTGGACAACATATCTATCAGCATCACTGCATCTAACTCTCCAGACTCTCTCACCATTGGCCAATAGGAGTACCAAACACTTGAGCATTTTCGGTTATTCGTTAATACAGCAGAATGAAGAGGGGACCTAGGATTGTTCCATGGGGACTTAGCTCCCTACTGGTTTTCACTTTAACAGTTTTGCACTAGCCCTCACTCTGCTTTCTGTCCCCAATCCAGGCTTGGTATCTAGCAGAACACCCAAAGGCGGAGAACTTTCGTAGTAGTTCTAATAAAGTCTACGAGCACGGCCTCTGTTAGTAATTTGCTATTATGAACTCCCACCCATCACTGTTTCAAGACGAGGTTTGTTAAGTAGGACTATTCTGCTCGGAAACCGTGTTGCTGTGTTATGAAAAGATGATCTGATTCAGTGTGATTAAAGACTATCATGAATCAGTTTCTCGAAAACACGAATATACTAGATAGGCTCGGAGAGCGATAGATACTACCTGACGATTAATAGCCTTAAAAACTAGTTATGCCGTCTTTCCAGACTCCAGGGTTGCTAGTCTGGAACAAGAACATACTAGAAAGATAAGTAACTGGTTCGGAAAAAGTATCCGCTAGAGAAAATAACAACCTAGGGTGCAAACCACCTGAACCCGGGTTTTTGCAGGCCTGAGGTTACTAAGCAAACACAAGAATCTCCCGTGAAATTTGCGCTGTACTCATTAGTCATCCAATGTTGGTACAGCTACTAAGCATCTCACTTTCTATACTTAGGAAATGTTTCTTTTCTTTTGACATTTCTTCGAATGAATGAGAATAGTATGTTAGGAAAGTTTTGACAATTACTTACAAGCTATTCATATCCTATCTGAAACTGCAATTAAAGTTTCTCATAGACTTCGAATCCAACAGCACTCAGATTTTTCTGTTTCCGTTCTAGTTTCCAAAAGGTAGTTCCACAAACGTTTTCTCCATCTCATTCGTCTTCCGCCTATCAAACCAGAAGCAATGCGGTTTTCAGGAGTCGATCATGAAATAAATAGCATCAGCACTTCTTCGAATATAGTCCCAAACCCAGCGCACAAATTCTCGTAGATGAGTACTCGTCGGCATTTGTCTTTATTGATTATGCAACCCCTTATTCGTAGCATATCTAAAGCAGTGAAATAACTTAATTAAAACCAGTACCTGTTTATTTACTGGGCTATGAACCATACTAACTTTGTGGCTTTATGATATTATCCGGTTTCCTGAACCTAAATAGTTGGAGTGAAATTCAAAGCATACTCCTATTACTTGCAAGTTGAGTTTTTCAGTTACACATCTGCACACCGCACATTCGGTCCAGGAGAAAAGCGTCGTAGTCGAACTCGTACGCTCGAATACCAGAAGTTAACAAAATATAGTGGTTATTTACCGACAAGGGGAATTCCGTAGATCCATAATATCGTCACGCTAGTGAGCTGAAACTAAATCCAGTAACGACACACTATTCTAGATCGCAACATATTGCACAAGTTACGTTTCAAACTGAGACAAGTTACATCACCGTTAAAAGTAGATCACTTCAGTTTCTGATTCCTATGCACTGGTTAGTATCCCAATTACTTCAGTCAGCGACTCGATGAGCGTATCTGGAGACTTTGGATAACAAATCGTCACTCCCTACTGCTTTGCGTTATTTCAGGTCTAAAGTAGCCTCTTCAGAGTAAATGAGGATTTAAGGATCGTTATCTTCATTTATTCCTAACCGAACATGGATGGCGTGAAATCAGAGCTTTTAAATCATTAGCGTTTTACATAAAGTTGAGCTTCCTAGTGGATGATTATTTCGGAAAATTACATGGTGCTTCTAGGTTCATTTCAAGTTACACTGTTTTGAGGTTGAAGACCATGTTGATCAAGTTAAAGTTTGAGGTTTCAGGTTAATTGCTTACGATTTATGTCAGTTTTTCTCAAACTCTACTTTTGACAGTTTGCAATCATAAACATTTCCTTAGATATTCGTTACCTCTCTTATCGTTCTCTAATCAATTTCATCCCTGGAACGCTCTTGTTCAAAATAAAAAATGCTCATATTCTTGGACTAAAGGATAATTTCAACTAAGATATCATTCTATCTGTTAAGAATATAAATTTGTGTACATGATTAAGGGCAGCCTTTGTGACTGACATATCAATACAAACTTACGTAGGACTCCTCAAAGTAGTATAGTTACTGAATCAAGTCTCCGAAGTAAGACATGACAACAATCTACGTACCTTTTAGGAAACTACTAACTGACTAATTTCACTCGCGTTATAATTATCCCGCAATTTCATACTAAGTTATAATCAAGAAGGGTAGGAAGTCTATTTTATTTTAATTTACTTTATTAAATTCGAATAACTCGCACCTATGTACCATAAAAGAAGCTCTTGAATAAACATAATTTAGGTAACGACGTA